ATCAGGGGATGTGGAGTTTGGCCAGCTCCATGTACCTGCAATGTTTTCCAGGAGTCCCGATGGGATTCCCCTATGCTGAGGTCTCTCCTGTACTGAGGTCTCTCCAGTCATCTCCAGTCAGTGTACCATTGTACAACAATCTCTGGCTGACCTCCCTCTCTCCGTGTGTGGGCTTCGTCGCCCAAGGGCAATTTACCCTTTTGCGCATTGCCTGATTCCTGGATGGGGATCACCCAAGTAAACAGAGAGGCTTCAGTGCCAGATGAGCCTTGGTAGGCACCCAGTGCTATGAGCGGATTCTCTCTCTCTCTCGAGGTACCAGCCACGGCTGAAGCTCAAAGTCGCCAATAAGGGCGGAACCGGAAATTGTTGAAGGGCGTCGTAAGCCCAGTCGTGAGACATAGACGAGGTGGTCTAACTCTCTATTCGTGGGTCTCGACCCGAGTCGTATTTCCGGTGGTTGCCCCTCAGTTGCAAATAGAACGTTTTCTTTCTTTAAAAGTAGAGGTGCTCTGGGTCGCTGTGGACAGCGGGGGCCTCCTGGATGCTCCTGGGTCCTTTGTGGCAGCTGGGGGTCCTCCACGACGACGACGATGATGGGAGGTGCCTTGGGTCAAGGCGGTGGCAGCTGGGATCTCCCGGACGCTCCTGGGCCTGTCATGGCAGCTGGAGGTCTCTGACGACGATGATGACGACGACACTAAGGATTTCTAAGGTCGGTGCTGGAGGAGGAGGGCCTATGGCGGTGACGGGCCTATGGCGGAGGACTCACAGGTGACAAAGGTACAAGACCAGGACTTCCCCTCTTCGGAGGGTGTGCGTGCAGCATATCTCTTGTGGCCTTGGAATGCACTGTGTCTCCCCTCGTAGGAGGGGTGTGTGTGTGTGTGTGTGTGTAAACCCTGATTCTAAGCTAAGGGGCTTGGAGCTGAGAGCTTATGCATGAGTCGAATTTTCCCGCAGGGGGATTGGGCCTGATGCTTCTACCCAATCCAACGAAGCTATGAAGCATCAGGGGATGTGGAGTTTGGCCAGCTCCATGTACCTGCAATGTTTTCCAGGAGTCCCGATGGGATTCCCCTATGCTGAGGTCTCTCCTGTACTGAGGTCTCTCCAGTCATCTCCAGTCAGTGTACCATTGTACAACAATCTCTGGCTGACCTCCCTCTCTCCGTGTGTGGGCTTCGTCGCCCAAGGGCAATTTACCCGTTTGGGCATTGCCTGATTCCTGGATGGGGATCACCCAAGTAAACAGAGAGGCTTCAGTGCCAGATGAGCCTTGGTAGGCACCCAGTGCTATGAGCGGATTCTCTCTCTCTCTCGAGGTACCAGCCACGGCTGAAGCTCAAAGTCGCCAATAAGGGCGGAACCGGAAATTGTTGAAGGGCGTCGTAAGCCCAGTCGTGAGACATAGACGAGGTGGTCTAACTCTCTATTCGTGGGTCTCGACCCGAGTCGTATTTCCGGTGGTTGCCCCTCAGTTGCAAATAGAACGTTTTCTTTCTTTAAAAGTAGAGGTGCTCTGGGTCGCTGTGGACAGCGGGGGCCTCCTGGATGCTCCTGGGTCCTTTGTGGCAGCTGGGGGTCCTCCACGACGACGACGATGATGGGAGGTGCCTTGGGTCAAGGCGGTGGCAGCTGGGATCTCCCGGACGCTGACGACGATGATGACGACGACACTAAGGATTTCTAAGGTCGGTGCTGGAGGAGGAGGGCCTATGGCGGTGACGGGCCTATGGCGGAGGACTCACCGGTGACAAAGGTACAAGACCAGGACTTTCCCTCTTCGGAGGGTGTGCGTGCAGCATATCTCTTGTGGCCTTGGAATGCACTGTGTCTCCCCTCGTAGGAGGGGTGTGTGTGTGTAAACCCTGATTCTAAGCTAAGGGGCTTTGGAGCTGAGAGCTTATGCATGAGTCGAATTTTCCCGCAGGGGGATTGGGCCTGATGCTTCTACCCAATCCAACGAAGCTATGAAGCATCAGGGGATGTGGAGTTTGGCCAGCACCATGTACCTGCAATGTTTTCCAGGAGTCCCGATGGGATTCCCCTATACTGAGGTCTCTCCTGTACTGAGGTCTCTCCAGTCATCTCCAGTCAGTGTACCATTGTACAACAATCTCTGGCTGACCTCCCTCTCTCCGTGTGTGGGCTTCGTCGCCCAAGGGCAATTTACCCGTTTGGGCATTGCCTGATTCCTGGATGGGGATCACCCAAGTAAACAGAGAGGCTTCAGTGCCAGATGAGCCTTGGTAGGCACCCAGTGCTATGAGCGGATTCTCTCTCTCTCTCGACCAGCCACGGCTGAAGCTCAAAGTCGCCAATAAGGGCGGAACCGGAAATTGTTGAAGGGCGTCGTAAGCCCAGTCGTGAGACATAGACGAGGTGGTCTAACTCTCTATTCGTGGGTCTCGACCCGAGTCGTATTTCCGGTGGTTGCCCCTCAGTTGCAAATGGAACGTTTTCTTTCTTTAAAAGAGAGGTGCTCTGGGTCGCTGTGGACAGCGGGGGCCTCCTGGATGCTCCTGGGTCCTGTGTGGCAGCTGGGGGTCCTCCACGACGACGACGACGATGATGGGAGGTGCCTTGGGTCAAGGCGGTGGCAGCTGGGATCTCCCGGACGCTCCTGGGCCTGTCATGGCAGCTGGAGGTCTCTGACGACGATGATGACGACGACACTAAGGATTTCTAAGGTCGGTGCTGGAGGAGGAAGGCCTATGGCGGTGACGGGCCTATGGCGGAGGACTCACCCGTGACAAAGGTACAAGACCAGGACTTTCCCTCTTCGGAGGGTGTGCGTGCAGCATATCTCTTGTGGCCTTGGAATGCACTGTGTCTCCCCTCGTAGGAGGGGTGTGTGTGTGTGTGTGTGTGTGTGTAAACCCTGATTCTAAGCTAAGGGGCTTGGAGCTGAGAGCTTATGCATGAGTCGAATTTTCCCGCAGGGGGATTGGGCCTGATGCTTCTACCCAATCCAACGAAGCTATGAAGCATCAGGGGATGTGGAGTTTGGCCAGCTCCATGTACCTGCAATGTTTTCCAGGAGTCCCGATGGGATTCCCCTATACTGAGGTCTCTCCTGTACTGAGGTCTCTCCAGTCATCTCCAGTCAGTGTACCATTGTACAACAATCTCTGGCTGACCTCCCTCTCTCCGTGTGTGGGCTTCGTCGCCCAAGGGCAATTTACCCGTTTGGGCATTGCCTGATTCCTGGATGGGGATCACCCAAGTAAACAGAGAGGCTTCAGTGCCAGATGAGCCTTGGTAGGCACCCAGTGCTATGAGCGGATTCTCTCTCTCTCTCTCGAGGTACCAGCCACGGCTGAAGCTCAAAGTCGCCAATAAGGGCGGAACCGGAAATTGTTGAAGGGCGTCGTAAGCCCAGTCGTGAGACATAGACGAGGTGGTCTAACTCTCTATTCGTGGGTCTCGGCCCGAGTCGTATTTCCGGTGGTTGCCCCTCAGCTGCAAATCGACCGTTTTCTTTCTTTAAAAGTAGAGGTGCCCTGGGTCGCTGTGGACAGCGGGGGCCTCCTGGGATGCTCCTGGGTCCTTTGTGGCAGCTGGGGGTCCTCCACGACGACGACGATGATGGGAGGTGCCTTGGGTCAAGGCGGTGGCAGCTGGGATCTCCCGGACGCTCCTGGGCCTGTCATGGCAGCTGGAGGTCTCTGACGACGATGATGACGACGACACTAAGGATTTCTAAGGTCGGTGCTGGAGGAGGAGGGCCTATGGCGGTGACGGGCCTATGGCGGAGGACTCACAGGTGACAAAGGTACAAGACCAGGACTTCCCCTCTTCGGAGGGTGTGCGTGCAGCATATCTCTTGTGGCCTTGGAATGCACTGTGTCTCCCCTCGTAGGAGGGGTGTGTGTGTGTAAACCCTGATTCTAAGCTAAGGGGCTTGGAGCTGAGAGCTTATGCATGAGTCGAATTTTCCCGCAGGGGGATTGGGCCTGATGCTTCTACCCAATCCAACGAAGCTATGAAGCATCAGGGGATGTGGAGTTTGGCCAGCTCCATGTACCTGCAATGTTTTCCAGGAGTCCCGATGGGATTCCCCTATACTGAGGTCTCTCCTGTACTGAGGTCTCTCCAGTCATCTCCAGTCAGTGTACCATTGTACAACAATCTCTGGCTGACCGCCCTCTCTCGTGTGTGTGTGTTGTGTGTGTGTGTGTGTGTGTGTGCGCGCGCTTTGGGTGTGTCGGGATCTCTCTGTGTGTGTGTGACTGTGGCGGGCGTGCCAGTGCGTGCGTGCGTGAGTGACGTGACGGTTGCGTGCGTGCGTTGCCGTGAGTGAGGCGGTGCGTGCGTGCGTGCGTGCGTGAGTGCGGCAGTGCCGTGGGGGGGCCAGTGCGGGCGTGGGTGTGTGTGTGGGTGTGTGGTGTGTGGTGGGTGTGTGTGTGGTGTGCTGTGTGTGTGTGTGTGGGTTTGGTGTGTTGTGTGTCGTGTGGGGGGGTGTGGGTGGTGGGTGGGTGCGTGAGTGCTGGTGTGTGTGTGGTGTGTGTGTTGTGTGGGGTGTGTGTCTGTCTGTTTGTCTGTCTGTCTGTCTGTCTGTGTGTGTGTGTGTGTGTGTGTGTGTGTGTGTGTGTGTGTGTGTGTGTATGTGTGTGTGTGTGTGTGCGCAGCAACACCTGGACATGGTGATTTCAGACTGTTGCTAGGGCTTCCCGGCTGATGCTGCCGTCATAACAACGAAATCAGAGAACAAAGAAGCGCAAGCCAAGAAGAATACGCCCCACCCCCTTCCCCCCAAGACACCCAAGCTCAGAAGCCCGAGTCTGGCGAGGCCAGGCCTTGCAGCCCATGAGAACCTGCCCGACGTCATCAAAGCTGCTCATGGACCTTGGGATTCTTTTGGGGGATGAAGCTGGATGGACAATTGCAGCATTTCCTGCTTCACGAGTGAATGGTGTATTTATCAGGGCGTTTGATAGATCAGATGCGGGCTTCCTGCATGGCTTTAGGTCTCCAGTCTTCATTTCGCTATTCATTACGTCTGCTCGCAGGTATCGTAGAACTCTTGGGTTTAGGGCTGGCATGCGCTTTGCTCTTGTGGGTTCTGCAGGCTTGACTACGGGCTTGAGATAGTCCAGGGACCTGGGGCAGGGCATGTTTGCTTGGAGGCCGTTGATCACAGCCATTCACAACCATCGGCCACGGCTCACGATTCGGGTCGGCTTATCTCGCGGAAAACCATGCTCCCCAGCGTTGCTACATCCTCGCTGCATGGTCGTGCGTAAAGGGGTGTCAAAACTCACAAGGGTGGGGAGCACCGGGGTCGCCATCCTCGTTGTGGTCGTCTTGGGATCATCGCTTCGCGACTTCGCGGTCGTGTGTCAGAACTTCCAAGAAGCCTCGTCGCTCGAAGCCACGCGCGGCCCGAGGCCCCCAACAAATCCGAAGTAGCGTGGGGTTTCAGCCCTGGGGGCCGAAGACCTCCGCAACTTCAGGGTTTATACATCCCTGGCCGCATCAAAAAGCGAGAAGATGTTATGTTCATTGCTGCAAGCATCCAGTGAATGTTGCAGGCTCGCATGGCTGAACCTGCACCTTTATCTTGCAACCTTGAGCCTTCATCATAACACAACTGGAGGAGGGCGTGACCATGTAGACCTAACTGGTTCACACTCCTTAGTTTCGCTGGTTGCTTCGGCCAACTAAGCGTGCGGTTTTAGTGGCAAGTGTGCACTTTGGTGTAAAAGCAGGTAGCGAAGGCACCTAAAAGCCTTCTTTAGAGAGTCTTTGGAATACCCCGCCAAGGAACGAAAAGCAGACCCGAAACTACGAAACAAAGGAAAAACAACCAGGGACAATAAAGCACGTCGAAACTAGTGGAATAGGCTGTGGCAGATACAGAAACATCATCAACTTTCAGGGCGTTGCTTCCAGAGCTTTCGGCAACACTCACAGTGCGGGGGCCGGGCTGGGTTCCAGTGTGGTCGGAGACGGAGAAATAGCAAATCCATCGCGCCGTCGGCTCCTGAACTCGTCAGCCCTTAGACTAACTTTCAACCTCTCAAGCCCCGAAAGTAAAACCACTCTCCAAACCCACAGAAAAATGCGATGTGGAACCGCAAAGTGTTGTTTCAGCCTTAAGGTACGAGTTTAAACTCCATATCTGTTGCCCGAGACGCAAGCTCCAGAAGACTCAGCCCCAACAGCCCCAAGGTGAACTCAAGATCAGAATGTCTTTCCGTACTTCTGAAGGTCGACCTCAAACCCACAGCAATCCCTGCCGTCCTGACAGCTGTGGCCTGCTGTGCAAGTCCAGCTGTTCCCTGCTGGCTCCATCTGCGTCAGTGGCCGCTGGTGGATGGTTTGAGGTTGCGACTTTGGGGCCTGGGCGCTTGGGGAGCTAAAGGGACAATTAGCACGGAAAGTTCTTGGGTGTAGGGTCTTATGCCCAAGGTCAAGGTGTGCTCAGAATTGCTTCATTGAGGCGTTTTGTTGTTGATCTGGTCTGTGTGTTTTTTCGTGGAGTTTTATCTTTAGAGGGAATCCCCTACCCCCACCCACACCATCCGCTTCTGGTGCCCAACATTTTCGCATCCTCAACGACATTGAGTTGTGCTCACGAATACTTGAACTCTGTATGTTTGATGGCACAGCAAATTTCAAAAAAACACCATTCGCAAGATCTTCCAAAAGGATGGTTTTCTTTCTATTCACCTGCATCTGGAGCCTTGTTTCTGTACAAATTACTTGGAATTCCTTTGAACCGTTTTGTGACAAATCTTACTTTCGTTGCTCCCTGAACACACGCACCCACACACACGCGCACGCGCGCGCACGAGAGAACACGCGCATGCGCGCAGGCAGCTGCATGCAGGCAGGTGCACGGACGCAAAGCAAACGCCTGAAGCTTAAGATTTCCGATTTGCCATGGACTAGTAACTGAGTTGAAAGGTGTTGAATTTCCAAAGCTCATGTACCTCCTTGAAAAGCTTTGGCAATCCTCTGAGTGCACTGGGCCTAATTCATTTTAAACTGCACCAGGCCTCAAGTCAAGCTTGTGTCAGTACAATGGAAGAGAGCGAACAGCAAATCTCTACGAGGAAATTGTAGCTCCGCATAGTGGCATGTGCAAGGCCAGTTCTTGCTGAAATTGAATTGAAGGTGCCATTCTCGCGAGATCCAACCGGAACCTTACCCAAAATCCTGCAACGCAACTTCACAAGACCGGAGCGTGGCATATTCGCTGCCTTCTTGTTGCAAGCTCGCATCCGGCCCTCCCTCTTGTCGTCGGGCACCTGCGGGGATCCGCTTGCAACCATCCCGAAGCACCCTAAACCCAAAGCCCAAAACCCTCGGTCTTACTGAGGCCAGCACCTAAAGCACACAAACAGGTAGTTCCATTGGGGTGTACCATATATATATATATATATGTATATGCACATATGCATATACACACACACACACACACCAGAGCCAGAAGAGGACCAGGAGACCAGAAATGAAAAGACTCACAGCAACAAAAGAAAACATTTGCTCCCGAGTTGCCTTGCATGTTCTGGGCTCGGTGTTGTAAAAAACATGTCGCATGAAGAACAAAAGCTGAGCGCTCGAAAGCCCCATCCCCTAAAGCCTTTCTACACTGAGGCCGATGAACAGTCTTGTCATGCCTTACTTGGGCCTGCAGGTTCTTGTAGTTCTTGCCCATCAAGGCTTCACGCAACAGAGCACATGTGCAATCGCGATTGAAGTCGCGGGGGCCTCTTCTGCGCAGGCCATGTAGAACGATGGCTGGCATCAAGGAGAAAAGGGGGTACGATGTTGCCCAATGCATTCGGTCTTTCTAGCCCAACATTCAAACGTTGTCTCTCAAGGCCTATACGCCTGGATTTTACCCGGGTGCAGTACGTATACTAAGAAGTCATTTGCTTTAATGGAGCTGTCAGGCTTGTATCCGTTCGATAAGAGAAGGGCAACCCTGTTTGCAAATAATGGCATGGTAACATCTGTGATGAGCAACCCAAGAGGCTCTGAGTCCCAATGCCCCCGTAAAGAAAAAAGCTGGCCTTCAGATACGAAGCCCGACAAGGCAAAACACACATGAGCTTAAACTGCTGGAGAACCCTGGGACCATGTCCCTGCGATCCCTGCCCAAACAGACCACAACCGCATCCGTGTGCGTGTGCTTGTTTGCTTGTGCGCTACTTGTGTGCTTGAGTCCTCGCGTGTGCCCTTGTGCGTGCTTGTGTGCTTGTGTGCGTGTGCGCGCATGCCTGTGTACTTCTGTGCTTTTGTGCTGGTGTTTGTTTCGAGGCTGTCAGAAGCCGCTCTGGAGAAGATAGAGACAAACTTTCAGGCTCGCCTTCTCGTGTGGAATAGCACTGACTGTGACCGGCCTCGGCTTCTCTCGGAGACTGAGTCAGCTCAAGGGCAGATCTACTGCGCAAGTCGTACTATGTCTTAGTTTGGGCGCAGCCGTCTTTGGTCCAAAGCAACTGACAACGGCTGTCAAATTTTTATAGTTGGCACATTCAACGCCAGATGACACCCCGAAGACAGGATGACTGATCACGAGCTCCTGGCGAGAGTGTGTGGTACTTTTGCAGCGGCCGGCCGCCTTCTGCTCGACCTGTTTTGCCGCTAATGACAAGAGAAGCCAAGGAGCGTGCGTGCTGGCAACCCGCGCCGGCTTAGGGCCTAGAAACTCGTTGCAGATTGGAGGGTTCAGGGGGGCTGCTTGGAAACTCGTTGCAGATTGGGGGCTTCAGGGGGCTTGGCAGGGGTGCGGCCTGGCAACGGTGCAGGACCGGCAGGTTCACGGGGGGCTTGGGGGTGCGGGCTGGCAACCTCGCTGGCTTAGGGGTCAGAATCTCGTTGCAGCTTGGGGGGTTCAGGGGGCTGGGCAGGGGTGCGGGCTGGCAACCCGGCTCCGAACCTTTGGAGGTTCAAGGAGGGCTTGGGGCAACCCGCGCGCCGAGGGCTGAGAAACTCGTTGCAGCTTGGGGGGGTTCAGGGGGCTGGGGTGCGGGCTGGCAACCGCACCGGCTCAGGACCTTGGGAGGTTCAAGCTGGCAACCCGCGCAAGCAGCTCAAAAGACAGCCAAACCCCACACCAAAAAACACCCTATCTGGCCCAGATAGGTTTCTTTTAGCTGAAACCCTAAACCCCGCACTCCAAAGGCAATCAAACATGGGCGCAGGCTAATCCAACGCAGACGACAGCAGGCAGCCAAACCCAATTTCAAGCACCTAAACCCTTAAACCAGACCCTAAAGCCGAAACTTGAAAGGCAATCAAACAGGGTGCAGGCTAAAGCAATTCTAAAGACAGCGGGCAGCCAAACGCAATTCCAAGCCCCAAGCCCTTAAACCTGACCTTAATTCCGAGACTCCAAAGGCAATCAAACAAGGTGCAGGCTAAACCAGCTCAACAGACAGCTGAACCCTCCCAAAAAACCCTATCTGGCCCAGAAGGAGCTGAAAAGGGCAGCCAAACCCAATTCCCCGGCCCTCAAACCCTTAACCTCAACCCAAAACCCAAAACTCCAAAGAAAGCAATCCAACAGGGCCAGAAAACAGGCCAAACCAGCCAAAGCGAGGGTGTGGGGAGGGTTTAGGTCCGAGGCAAACCGGGTCCTTAATTTGGCTTAATTTCGGATTTCTGACGTCGCTTCGGGTGGGCTTGGCAGGGGGTGGGCTGGCAACCCGCGGCGGCTTAGGGCTTAAGGTTGGGGGGGGTTCGGGGGGTTGGCAGGGGATGCGGGTTGGCAACCCGCGCCGGCTAGGTGCTTAGGAACTCGTTGCAGGTTGCGAGTGCAGGGTGTGGGCTGGCAACCCGCACCAGCTCAGGACCTTGGCAACCCGCTGGGGCTTGGGGGCGTTCAGGGGGGCTTGGCAGGGGGTGCGGGCTGGCAACCCGCGCCGGCTTAGGGCTTAGGAACTCGTTGCCGTTGCAGGTTGCGAGTCCTTGGCAACCCGCTGGGGCTTGGGGGGTTCAGGAGGAACTTGTTGCAGGTTGCGAGTGCAGGGTGCGGGCTGGCAACCCACACCGGCTCAGGACCTTGGCAACCCGCTGGGGCTTGGGGGCGTTCAGGGGGGCTTGGCAGGGGGTGCGGGCTGGCAACCCACGCCGGTTAGGGCTGAGGAACTCGTTGCCGTTGCAGGTTGCGAGTCCTTGGCAACCCGCTGGGGCTTGGGGGGTTCAGGAGGGGCTTGGCAGGGGATGCGGGCTGGCAACCCGCGCCGGCTAGGTGCTTAGGAACTCGTTGCAGGTTGCGAGTTGCGAGTGCAGGGTGCGGGCTGGCAACCCGCGCCAGCTCAGGACCTTGGCAACCCGCTGGGGCTTGGGGGCGTTCAGGGGGGCTTGGCAGGGGGTGCGGGCTGGCAACCCGCGCCGGCTTAGGGCTTAGGAACTCGTTGCCGTTGCAGGTTGCGAGTCCTTGGCAACCCGCTGGGGCTTGGGGGGTTCAGGAGGGGCTTGGCAGGGGATGGGGTGCGGACTGGCAACCCGCACCGGCTCAGGACCTTGGCAACCCGCTGGGGCTTGGGGGCGTTCAGGGGGGCTTGGCAGGGGGTGCGGGCTGGCAACCCGCGCCGGCTTAGGGCTTAGGAACTCGTTGCCGTTGCAGGTTGCGAGTCCTTGGCAACCCGCTGGGGCTTGGGGGGTTCAGGAGGAACTTGTTGCAGGTTGCGAGTGCAGGGTGCGGGCTGGCAACCCACACCGGCTCAGGACCTTGGCAACCCGCTGGGGCTTGGGGGCGTTCAGGGGGGCTTGGCAGGGGGTGCGGGCTGGCAACCCACGCCGGTTAGGGCTGAGGAACTCGTTGCCGTTGCAGGTTGCGAGTCCTTGGCAACCCGCTGGGGCTTGGGGGGTTCAGGAGGGGCTTGGCAGGGGATGCGGGCTGGCAACCCGCGCCGGCTAGGTGCTTAGGAACTCGTTGCAGGTTGCGAGTTGCGAGTGCAGGGTGCGGGCTGGCAACCCGCGCCAGCTCAGGACCTTGGCAACCCGCTGGGGCTTGGGGGCGTTCAGGGGGGCTTGGCAGGGGGTGCGGGCTGGCAACCCGCGCCGGCTTAGGGCTTAGGAACTCGTTGCCGTTGCAGGTTGCGAGTCCTTGGCAACCCGCTGGGGCTTGGGGGGTTCAGGAGGGGCTTGGCAGGGGATGGGGTGCGGACTGGCAACCCGCACGGCTCAGGACCTTGGCAACCCGCTGGGGCTTGGGGGCGTTCAGGGGGGCCTTGGCAGGGGGTGCGGGCTGGCAACCCGCGCCGGCTTAGGGCTTAGGAACTCGTTGCCGTTGCAGGTTGCGAGTCCTTGGCAACCCGCTGGGGCTTGGGGGTTCCGAGGGGCTTGGCAGGGAAATGGGGTCGACACTGGCAACCCGGGCTCAACCTTGGCAACCCGCTGGGGCTTGGGGGCGTTCAGGGGGGCTGGCAACCCGCGCCGGCTTAGGGCTTAGGAACTCGTTGCCGTTGCAGGTTGCGAGTCCTTGGCAACCCGCTGGGGCTTGGGGGGTTCAGGAGGGGCTTGGCAGGGGATGGGGTGCGGACTGGCAACCCGCGCCAGCTCAGGACCTTGGCAACCCGCTGGGGCTTGGGGGCGTTCAGGGGGGCTTGGCAGGGGGTGCGGGCTGGCAACCCGCGCCGGCTTAGGGCTTAGGAACTCGTTGCCGTTGCAGGTTGCGAGTCCTTGGCAACCCGCTGGGGCTTGGGGGGTTCAGGAGGGGCTTGGCAGGGGATGGGGTGCGGACTGGCAACCCGCACCGGCTCAGGACCTTGGCAACCCGCTGGGGCTTGGGGGCGTTCAGGGGGGCTTGGCAGGGGGTGCGGGCTGGCAACCCGCGCCGGCTTAGGGCTTAGGAACTCGTTGCCGTTGCAGGTTGCGAGTCCTTGGCAACCCGCTGGGGCTTGGGGGGTTCAGGAGGAACTTGTTGCAGGTTGCGAGTGCAGGGTGCGGGCTGGCAACCCACACCGGCTCAGGACCTTGGCAACCCGCTGGGGCTTGGGGGCGTTCAGGGGGGCTTGGCAGGGGGTGCGGGCTGGCAACCCACGCCGGTTAGGGCTGAGGAACTCGTTGCCGTTGCAGGTTGCGAGTCCTTGGCAACCCGCTGGGGCTTGGGGGGTTCAGGAGGGGCTTGGCAGGGGATGCGGGCTGGCAACCCGCGCCGGCTAGGTGCTTAGGAACTCGTTGCAGGTTGCGAGTTGCGAGTGCAGGGTGCGGGCTGGCAACCCGCGCCAGCTCAGGACCTTGGCAACCCGCTGGGGCTTGGGGGCGTTCAGGGGGGCTTGGCAGGGGGTGCGGGCTGGCAACCCGCGCCGGCTTAGGGCTTAGGAACTCGTTGCCGTTGCAGGTTGCGAGTCCTTGGCAACCCGCTGGGGCTTGGGGGGTTCAGGAGGGGCTTGGCAGGGGATGGGGTGCGGACTGGCAACCCGCACCGGCTCAGGACCTTGGCAACCCGCTGGGGCTTGGGGGCGTTCAGGGGGGCTTGGCAGGGGGTGCGGGCTGGCAACCCGCGCCAGCTTAGGGCTTAGGAACTCGTTGCCGTTGCAGGTTGCGAGTCCTTGGCAACCCGCTGGGGCTTGGGGGGTTCACGAGGGGCTTGGCAGGGGATGCGGGCTGGCAACCCCGCACCGGCGCCAGGGCTTAGGAACTCGTTGCAGGTTGCGAGTCCTTGGCAACCCGCTGGGGCTTGGGGGGGTTCGGAGGGGCTTGGCAGGGGATGCGGGCTGGCAACCCGCGCCGGCTAGGGCTTAGGAACTCGTTGCAGGTTGCGAGTGCAGGGTGCGGGCTGGCAACCTGCACCAGCTCAGGACCTTGGCAACCCGCTGAGGCTTGAGGGCGGGTTGCCAACCCGCCCTGCACTCGCAACCTGCAACGAGTTCCTAAGCCCTAGCCGGCGCGGGTTGCCCCCTGCCAGCCCCCCCTGAACCCCCCAAGCCCCAGCGGGTTGCCAAGGACTCGCAACCTGCAACGAGTTCCTAAGCCCTAAGCCGGCGCGGGTTGCCAGCCCGCACCCCCTGCCAAGCCCCCCTGAACGCCCCCAAGCCCCAAGGTCCTGAGCCGGTGCGGGTTGCCAGCCCGCACCCTACACTCGCAACCTGCAACAAGTTCCTAAGCCCTAGCCGGCACGGGTTGCCAGCCCGCATTCCCTGCCAAGCCCCTCCTGAACCCCCCAAGCCCCAGAGGGTTGCCAAGGTCTCGCAACCTGCAACGGCAACGAGTTCCGAAGCCCTAAGCCGGCGCAGGTTGCCAGCCCGCACCCCCTGCCAAGCCCCCCTGAACGCACCGGCTCAGGACCTTGGCAACCCGCTGGGGCTTGGGGGCGTTCAGGGGGGGCTTGGCAGGGGGTGCGGGCTGGCAACCCGCGCCGGCTTGGGGCTTATGAACGTTGCAGGTTGCGAGTGCAGGGTGCGGGCTGGCAACCCGCACCGGCTCAGGACCTTGGCAACCCGCTGGGGCTTGGGGGCGTTCAGGGGGGGCTTGGCAGGGGGTGCGGGCTGGCAACCCGCGCCGGCTCAGGGCTTAGGAACTCGTTGCAGGTTGCGAGTCCTTGGCAACCCGCGCCGGCTAGGGCTTAGGAACTCGTTGCAGGTTGCGAGGGGCGTTCAGGGGGGGCTTGGCAGGGATGCGGGCTGGCAACCCGCGCCGGCTTAGGGCTTAGGAACTCGTTGCAGGTTGCGAGTCCTTGGCAACCCGCTGGGGCTTGGGGGGGTTCGGGGGGGCTTGGCAGGGCATGCGGGCTGGCAACCCGCGCTGGCTTCTTTGGGCTGGCAACCCGCGCCGGCTTCCGATCCAAGATGCCCAAACCAAGTACTGTCTATCCGCAGATCTTCACCATCCAGTCCCAGAGTCCGAAAGCCTGATCCCCAGCCAACACTCCAGAAATCAACCCAGAACCCAACCCCGGAACTCCAAACCGAACATTTCAAACACAGCCCAACATGACATTCCTCCATTTAGGACGAAAACCCTGCACCGTAAATCCTGTGTCCTCCAGTGCTGAATCCCTTCTGATGTTTCTTCATATGTTGGGTTTAGGATTGAGATGGAGGGGGGGATGGGATTCTGGCAGCAGCCGTCTGCTGAAGCTCTCGTGGCGCCTTCTGGGCCAAGGTCTGCGCCGGGGGACTGGCGTGAGCAAGCGATGAGCAGTGGTTTTGGAGTACTGGCAACCGGTTGTGAACCTCTAGCAGCCTAGCATTTTTGGCTTTCAGGCGTAGACACCCAATCACCGTCCTTTATGGCCAGAATTTCAGCTTGTTTCATGGATGTTCTGGAGTCGGGGCTCGCTCAATTGGGTCAGTAATCTTCTGGCCGGTTTTCGATAAATTCCGAGGCCTTCAACTCCGGTGAACTTCCAAAGTCCTGCACCCCCAAAGCCACTGTGCAAACGCCTCCAGGCTCACCGCATCAGCCTGCGTTTGCTCAGAGCGTCGGGCCGAGAGCGGGCTCGTGGTCGAAGTCAAAGCCACGACGTGATGCTTTTTTCCGTGGCATTCGTGGACATGTACCATTTCTCTTTTCCTTCCAGCCTTCATCTCTTCGATTGTTTGAAGCATGGCGGGGCCTTGCAACTGCCGCAGTATGCCGCAATGTTTCAAACCCGAGCACAGAAGATGTGATGTGACCCTGAGACCGAACTAAGGAACCACTGAGAGAAAGGCGACGGCTCTCGGACAGCGGCCTTTCGATGCACACATATGCACACCCATTGAGGGCTTCGGCTCTAAGCCTCAATAGGACAGGGGTTGAAAGGCACGGTTCACAGAATTTGCAAAGCCCGGATGACGTCATGTTTATCTTGCCTGCGCCAGTGTGTTTGTTGCGATGATGGTCTCTGCTACAGCGTTAGCTGCGGCCGTATTTGTAGCATCGGCAGTGCTCGGCTGTCAGGATTTTGCGGTGATGTGTAAGGCTAATTGAGTGGGTATTGGGTTGAGAGCTCTGCTGGGTGTGTCTGCGTCTGTGATCTGATCTCTAAGCGGGAGGACCTTCCAACAACAAACTGCGAAAACTCCAACGGCATGAGCCACAGCCTCGGGCTTTCTGTTGGCCCGCCCCACTCTAGATCTGCGTCAGAATTGCAAAAACGAGACTCGGTGAATTGAGGATATCGATACACTATGATACGCTCAAAAACACTCACTCAACGGCACGGGACCCTAAGGAACCTTGTTCCCATTGAGGGCCAATCGAATCCTGCGAAACCTGCGGGGACTCGGCACGGGCCGCCTGGCAGTTGCCAGCGCTGCAGCACCATGCTCCTGGTACCACCTGGCTGGACATTCCAGCCCTAAACCTTTAGTCTCGGAAGAAACGCTCCTGAACGCTGACCTCAAAATGTGCACGAGACTAAGTGCACTAGGCCGCGAAACCCTGATGCCGAAACTGTCACTCCGCAGGAGCTTTGGGAACAGTCCCAAAGCAAGGCTCATCGCACCTCGAGAGCTGCTCTGCTCGCTGGTGGATTCCAAAGGCCTCGTAATGGTCACACGGTCCCACCTCGAACCCTTACTTAGATTCTGCATCCGCAAACCTCAAACTTCTACTCCTACGAAGCCCGAACACAAGCCTTCACAGTGGAAAGTTTTGGGATGCTAGGCTGTTCCTCAGGTTATTGAACCGGTCCACGACGTAGTTTTGGAAAAGCGGCATGATTTCGAGTCCAAGAGACCCTCCCCCCCCGATGGAGATTTCAAATTTCTATTACAACTATCCACTGTCGGTGCCTTGCCCCCCCCCCCGGTTCTGTACGGAGTCTGGGGGCTTCCAGGCCAAGTGGGGAGTTGCTCTTTCTTGTGACCCTTCATTGTGTACCTTGAAAGGCCAGAGAGTAGGTCGCCCTGCTTTCAGGACACTCATACCTCAAGACCGTGTGCTGCACGAGCTGGAGATTAGCCACATTTTCTGGAGCTTGTTTCGAAGATGATAGCCAATGCGGTCGTATCGAAGCAGCAGTCCAGCGGTTGACCGTTATCTTCTTAACGAGTTAATGTCCCCCCTCCTCCCTCGCCTGGTCCCCTTGAAGGAACTGCGAGGCGGCTTTGCTGTTCAAGCCTAAGGCGGCGAGGGCGCTTCGTCAAGAGGGGCAGATTGAGGGATGTCTGTCGGCATTGAGGGGTAGGATTGCTTCAGTGGAGCCTAGGCCTTTTTGGAGGTAAGGAGTTTTGGAGCTGAGGACTTTTGTAGTTGATGAAGATATTGAAGGTATTGGGCAAACACCCTCCAAATATCCCCAAATGCTCATCCCTCAAGTCGCCAGAGCAAGTCGCAGATTTGCAGACGAGTTTCCAGGCCCTACACAATATTCCACAAACATCTGAAAGATTGAGCACCGATTTGTGTTCCTCAGGGTGTGGCTTTTGCCCCCGAAGTTGCTCACGGCCGCGCGCTTGATCAACAGGACCTGGTGCCGATAGTTTTGGGATCATTTGGTGCTTGGACATGCTTGGAACTTTGACAGAAGGGTTTTAACGGTTCAAAGGGTCTAGGGTGCGTGGGCCCACCCTATCCCCAAAGTCCTGAACAGCTTTCACACAACATCCCAATGTCGTTGGCTAACAAAGTGTTGGCCAGTCGCATCTTCACTCAGTTCGTCTATCACCTTTAGGCTTTGGGGTAAATTTGCATCTCGTCGGCCGTTGATGCCTGCACTGCGCAACAACGCAATATCCTAAACTTCCTAAACTTGGACCCCGAACTCTGAAACTTTAATGCACTGCGCTCCTCAAACCTGAAGCGCCAGACTGTCTCTCAATGCGACCAGAAGCAAGACTACAGGCTGCGCTGCCGCGCTATCCAAAGCCAGAAATCCAGCTGGGCTTCAGGCACTTCCGACCTGCCAGTCCGGCCTTTGCGTGAGCAGCTGGATTCCGTGACTCGTAAAGAACTACGGTAGTGGGTCTCTTGAGCAGAAGGCGCTTGTTCCCCGAGGTGAGTGCAAATTTCTTGACAGCAAATCTTGGGACCAAGGCAGCCGGTATGTGTTTTTTTGCGACTATGAGTGCACTACTTCATTTTTGACTTAAAGGGGTGGCAGCATTGAACATGGATTTCGGGCTTGGGTCTTGCGGCAGAACTGCGGATGCTTGTACACGCTCGAGGCCTCATTGGCTCTTACTTGGGGACCGGGCGAGCAGAACTCCTCCCACAAGGTCAGGTTGCAAGACCTCATGGGCAAGAGATGAGAAGGAAGCTGGGATGTCGATTTGACCCAAACCCACAACCGTAAGGGCCTGGCCTAGAGACTTGTCACGAGGCCTAGGGCCTAGGTTTCTGAGACACGCAGGATCAGAAGGATTGCGTGTTTGGGCTTCTGCCGAGTCATTCTATGGAGATTTGCACGCAACAAGATGCGTCGACGGCATTCGTTAAACCCTGGACCTGGACACCGGAGACGCACCGAAAGAACCTTCAGACCCGTCGTTCGTGGTAAATCGTAGGAGGTCTGCGTTTGTTCGTGCCCCTGCTGTCCCATTCGTCGAGCTTCAGCGTGCATGATGTGCGGCTGGACCCGCAAGCCCAGAACTTCAACCCCATGTTGAAAACCCAAAAGCCAACTTTGTTGCCGCCTCAACGAAGGCTGGATGGCCGATGGACTAAGGAACTTGTTCCTTCTTTATTGTGGGGATTCACTGATTCACCCACTTGCAGGCAATGGGCACGCCCGAGTCGTCGAGCAAAGTGAGGTTTTGGCGCCTGCTTTGGCTGCTGTCCTGGCCCGTGTGGTCATTCTATGATTCGCGGAGTTAATCGTTTCAGCCTTTTTTGCTCATCTGGAGGTCATCGGTTTAGAGGTTTAAGGTTGGGGCAAGGATGCAAACCTCGGAAGTCTGAGAAACAAGAACCCCTGCACCTCAGACACCCTAAGCTCGCAAACAATTTGCGCCAAGTGAGTTCGAAACGCCGAAACCATTTCATTGCGCACCTCTTTGCGCCCGTCCGTCACAAGGCCACCCAACAACCCTCTGCACGCCCCGAGCGGTTGCCTTCCTCGTGAACTCAAAAGGCGCAGGGGCCTAAAGCAACAGGAGCGGCGGGCTTTGAACCCTTTTATCTGAGATTGATGACGGTTCTCAGAAAGAGGTTTCATAAATTGTGTGTACGTGGTGGATCACTTCCTCAGACATGGGACTTCAGGTTGAAGATCATTTTTTTATCGGTGTGTCTTTTGTTGATTTTTTGGAAGGGGGGGGGAATTGTTTGGGTTTCTGTTTGGGGTTTTTGTTTTTGAGGCATTCCTCAAGCGCTGCTACTGTCTCTGCTGTCGCGGCTGCTACTGCAACAACAGTTGCTTTGAACGACGTACTCGCGTGCAAAACATCGACGAGTCAAGACCATCAAGCCTGCCTCCTTTGGAATTGCGAGGCCCTCTTTGCAAAAAGATAGGCAGCTCACGGTACGCTCTGGCACTCGGAAACCTGGAGTGTTCGTAGTAGCGCCGCCATATTTCTGACATGGAAGAGGCCAGCTATGGCCCTGACGTCACGTACTGACACGTGGTTTGGCATATACGCGTTTTGCTCAGGGTTTTATCGGCGACCGAGTGGCCTCCACAATGACCGCCACGAGGTCGACAAGTGCCTTCTCCTCCTGCTGACCAGGTGCTTCAAAAGCCCTCTAATCTTCTGGCCACTTGAGGCCAAATCAAAACAGCCCATGGCCTCAAACGCCTGTAGGCCATCAAAATTGAAACCGAACGCTTGAAGGTTGCACTCTTTGGTAGAACCACATTCTAGGATCGGTGAACTTCACGCCAGAAGACCAAAAACATCCATTCGCGCCCTTGGAACCGCATGCCAGGTGACATCGCGGATCTGAATCAAAAAAGAACAAACACACCATTGTACCAAATCTCGGACCTTAGGTGTGGGTTTACAGTTTACATGGCACACCACGAAAGGCCACAAAATGGAAGATGCCCGCCGCTTGTGCTGGGCCATTCAGCCGCCATCATTCCTAGTTCCTTGGCTCACCATGCCTGAACTTAGGCCCGCAGAGAAAAACAACTTCGCAACCCTGAGCTCCAAAACCTAAATTCCTTAGACCCCAGCCCCACGAAAACAAGAAAGTCTAAATCCCGCCGTGCCTGGCTCTCGAGGCAGGCCAATGACTCCAGCGGCTCGATCGCCTAACTCCCATCGGACAGACCACGTGCGGGTCTTGGTTGCTCTGAACAACGCAATTCAGAGATAAAGGTCCGAAGCACTCCCAACAAACACAAACCTAAGATATAGGAGCCCACAAGCCCTGCAGACTTAATGATGTGACGTAGTGGGGAGTGAAAGACTTTCCATATATGTAAGCGGCAGATTCCTATCCAGCGTTCTCGACCCCAGTGGCCAATTTTGGAACTTCGCCAGTGTCCACCTCAGGCTCGATGGCCGCCTGGCGCCGGGAAGGGGGGAAATTGGCGGAGTTGGGTTTGGGGGGCGTAAGGGTCTCAGCCCGAGACACGTCCCAGGCCGGACTCGAACTCAGGGCTTTATGCCCAAATCCATGATGGCCCTCAACTCCAAAAACCTTCTGCCAAAAGCCAAGCCGAAGACCTCAGTTGAGACATTACTCTGCACCAGCAACAAGCAGCACCATCGACTTCCGAATCGAGCTACTTACCACCCCAATGGTCCTGCGCACTTAGGAGTTAAGGGGTCGCATTGATGGGTGTTCAACAGGGACCTTGGTTTCGTCTCCCTTGCCCCACTCTGAGGCCTTTTCATCGAACGTGATCTCCACATCAAACCTGAGCGAGCCACTTCAGTTTGTCTTTGTTGAACTGCATCTATGGCCTAAGTATGTGCTGTAGCCGATTCAGGCGCGGGTGTCAACATCAACAGCTACCTTTGATTCGTGGCTTCTCGAAGAGAACAGGTCTCTTCAATCATGTATGGGATGTTTGTCTTACTCCTTGACTGGGGCAAAACCGACGTGCAACCGGACAACGCGAAGACTGAATGTCACAGCTTGGGGGGACTTAAAAGACTCATAAGAACATCCAACTTTGGTGCATACTGCATGCTGCCGCGGTATGGCAAGAGTGCTGGAGTTTAGTGGTCAACAACCCTCGTGGGGGAGTCCACGTGTGCCTGCCGACCACTCATCGAGATTTGTTTCGAGTTGGTTGTGCTGTGAGAGCTTTTGTGAGCTTGGGCATCTTGCAGCGATTTGGGACGAAGCCGGAGCTGCAAGATGGGCAAGCCGATCAGCTCTGGAACCGGAGAGTCGAAGACCCAATTTCCGTACTGGCCAGGCCGCTTCCAGCAAGCCTCATGCCAATGCGATCATCACCTCTAGCCTCATGCTGTAATCTAGACTTGGGTTTGCCGCTTTGCCCTTTTCTTTGGCGTCAGCCTTCGGCGCACAGTACCGATGAGGCTGTGGTTGCGCCTGGTTCGCATGTTTGCAGTCAGAGAGTGTCCACATCATGAATGCAAAGCTCACATTCAGGATGGCATAGGGAATATGTGCGAGCGTTCTGCACATTAGCTCGCCGCCAGAGGCTCTAGACTCTAGTTGCGTTTTCCAGATCCAGGGCGAGTGAGGAAGTGGGGGCAGCACCACGTGGAGGGCTTCGTAGTTAGAGTTTTATGGCTTCAGATAGCCGGCTTGTCCAACAGAAACACTCGACCAAAAAGGCTTTGCTGCAAACTGCGGCATCCCAAAACCACAAATCCTGAGGTGCTACAGCCACAGGCAATGTTCGGAAGCCTCCTCACCTGCCTCAGAACCCCTCAGAAGCCAAGCGCGGCACGAATGAAAGCGTTTGTCACCGCTCCTGGCAAAGAAGCGCTAGGGAACCCTGTTGGCCTTCATGCTTTGAGGGTCAAACGCTTCCAGGATTTCGTGCTTTGGGGCTTTGGGGTTTTTGGGTCAAGGCAAGGCTTCCAGGCTTCCCGTCTAGCGCTTTAAAGGAGCTCCTAAACCGCTTCAAAGCCCAGATCCCCAACACCCTGCGATCCTAAACCTCAAGCCTGTGTGCAGGTTTGATGCCTTAGACCCTCAGTTCCACTCTCCCAACGGAAAGCTTGGTAAGAACATTCCGGGTGTTGCAGACTTTCCGATGTAACCAGCACGAAGAATGGACAAAGCAACCCCATCGGGAACCAGGGAACCAATTCAAACCGTGCCAGCCAGGCTTCACCCTGCCGCCGCTAAAGACAAACATCTGACCATCCTTTGGCATTCTTCAGTTGGGGATTGAAGACGGGTCTAGTTGGGGCTGAGTGTTGGGTTTGATCTTCGAAGGGACTACAGTAGGACTGTATGGACTGTATGGACCGTGTGCGCACAATGCACTGTAGGGTCTCATGGATTTGCATACAGGGTTCAGGGCTACGAAACGCCGACGGTTGAGAGGCACTCGTCTGAAAAAAACAGAGATGCGTCCCAATATGTTAAGTAAACATGGCCCTGGGGAGTTGGGGCTTAGGGCTTCACTGGCATAATTTCCACTGGATTAAGCCTACGTGCTTCCAGAAGCCATCTCAGCTTGCGACACGTTGATCAACCAGACATTCCGTCCAAGCATGGCTGCTAATGTCATGTAGCATCTGGGGGTCCGAAGGCATTCTCACGATGTTTGGCTTCGACGTCGGCAGCAAGAATTTCGATTCTGGGCACAGGACCGTGGGGCGACAGCGACATTTGCAGCTTGCTCTAGACCAGGCAGCGAACCCATCCAAGAGCCCAAAGTGCAGAAACGTGCGTAGCGCCTACCCTGCTATCGCGACGCGGAATGGTACAAGCCTCAAAAAGTGCACGGGACCTGGCGGAGCACGATTCCGTGTACGGAACCGCAGGCCCTGAAATGCGCATGGCGCCTAGGCGGGAGCACCGGCAAGGTTGTCGCTCACAGTTTGAAATGCGAGGCAAGCGGCAAGCGCGTCCACGCACACGGAAACACCCAGAGATTCATTACTCTTGAGGCCCTCTGCGCCCAAAGGAGAACTGCCAGGTCAACCCTATATCTAACTTTCTTTCCTCTCCATGTAGGATCTGTCGTCGACTGACTAGGATTTGTTGCGCAGCAGCTTTACATGTCAAGACAATTCGCTCCGCAAAAGCCCGGCTATTGAAACTCTTAAGTTTCGATGCTGGAGGGTTCTTTCTGTCAGCTCTAAACCTCTGACACCCAAGACACGGGACCTGCAAGACATCGAAGAATTTGTCCGCCGCTTGGTTGAAGAATGTGGCGCGGGTCTCTGTACCCTCCGGGCTGAGGGCTCTGCAGTTGAGGTTTTGAGCTTCGGACTTAGGGTGTGTATAGACGCTCCGGGCTATTTCGGATTCGGTTGCAGTGTTCAGGATTTAAGTCTTGATGCGCCTAGCAAGTCCTTTTAACACTTTCCACCACAACCACTGCAACCTGCCAACGCCAGCCGCAAGATGCCTCAAGGGTCTCTGGTTCTCTTGAATTCATGTTTCCGCAGCGAGTCCAGGGACTGTGCGGTTGCGAGACTGGCACTGTAGGTCCATAGAGTTTAGGGTTGAAAGCAGGTCAGGTCTACGGGAAAGGTTTGATTGACGCTGCTTTTGAATATGCAGAAGAACAGCAACAAACGTGAAGGTTTAACAAGACTCAAACAAGGATGAACTTCGATGCGGTGAACGCCATTGAAGTCTGGATCTTTGGGAGCGAGTCGGAGCCGAAGCGAAGTGAAGGTTTGAAGTTTTTGGGTGCAAGGATTTGCAGCACTGCGGGGCCGCAGCTGAACATAGTTCTTGCCGTGCCAAAAGGGGACGTGGTCGAAGCCGCTGTTTGCTACTAAACTGCCACGGACGCACTAGCCAGCACTGCTGCAATGGCGAGACGCTGAGACTACCATATCACAACTCCTGGGTCCTTAAGTGCCTAGAACTTGCAGCAGATGATCTCATTTGAGTTTAGGGCTCAGTCCTGTGAGGTATCGGGTCTAGGGCTCACTTTCCCTGCCCTCTTGCACCTCTTTGTCCATGAGGTCAACGTTGAAGAGTTGCCCTTCGCGCTCCCTCGGGCTTCGTAGGAACCCCTTAGCCTCTGCACCGCTATGAACCTGAAACCCTTGTGTACAAGGTGCTATGACATAAAGCCACCAGGCTTGTCAACTATGTGACATTGCTCTAGGCTCTATCTGTAACCACGAGAGCTTCTGAAGGCCCAAGTTGCTGTCGGGTTTCGTGCTCCAAAGTTTCAGTGGGGGATCCAGACCTTTAGGATGCTCGGAAAATTCGGGATTTTGGCCACAAGGCTTTTTCAAGCATCAAGGGCTGCGTGAAGGATGTTTCGTGCGTCAGTTCAGTGCTGGCTGTGATTTCAAGAAGGCTCTAGCGGCTTCTGGATTTGACGGAGAGAGGTAAGTCAGTCTTCAATGCGAAGTGGAGCAATATCAAGAATTGGTGGGTTCGACTCAGGGTCTGGGGCCATGCGTGGCTGTGGGGAGGCTAAGCCACGCTCCTGCGCCCCGGACCTTGTTCTTGGGTTCGAGGTTTGACGTACTGAAACCGAAAGGCCGAATCAGCTGCTTCGAAGCCTGATGGGTCGCTGCATCCCCTTGTTTTCTGTTCGTCGTACATTCGCTGTCGCAAGCGACTGTGTGGGTCCTGGACGTGCTTGGCCTCACTTTGGGCCAGTGTGCCAGAGCTGAAATTTAGAGCAGTGCTGCTGTGAAGTTAAGGATATGTGGCCTCCAGGAATCTTCAACTCAGACTCCGCAGACACCCGCAGACACCTCAACTATGAACTTCATTTACCCAACTCCAAGCACCGTCTCCAAAGTGCGGCAGCCTTAGGAACTACTGAAGAATCTTTAAACTTCCATGGCTTCCAAGGGCTTGCAAGCCGACTTTCAAGGGTGATTGTTAACACCTACCAAGGAATCCCGCTGCCGTGCATCCCCCCTACATCCCCCCCTACATCCCCTTGAGTCCCTGGCGGCTTCTTGAACTTGCGCTTCAATGTCTTCTTCGTGACGCGGGCAAGCAGCCGCCAGTTCGTGCCCTGAGCACTTCTAGATTCCGGGATTCAATGGCAAAAGTGAGCTCCCCGAAGGTCCTAAGGCGGACGACAGGTCATTCAAAACCATGCGTGGGAGACCCTCAGGGGTAAGGCTATAAGGGGTTTAGTGGTCTACTTCATCAGCAGCCCACAGCTACATTCCGTTAACTTGCCGCCCTGCCTTGTAGGAGGACAGGCCGTTGATGGTCCAGCTGCTCTTGTTTCTGTCTGCCTCTGAAACTCCAGAACGAGAGCAAGATACAATGCAAAATTGCGTCTGGCACACTCTGGCCGACGTGCAGTGAACATTGGCAAAAACGCTGAACATACCAGTTCTGGGCATATTCACAAAAGGCATGGACACTTGTGACAGCACGTCTTGTTCCAGAAGCTTCACAGATCCTTCTGCAGCATGTTGTAGAAAGGGGCAAACATGCTGCAAATACCAGTGTTTTTGGCACGGTTAAAGCAACGCGGTCGTACCCAACCCCGCAGCCCCCACCCATCCACCCCGACCCTCACACCCTCCCCAGCACAAAACACAGAGCCCAGATGGGGTTTACACTACGGCATTCTGTGAGCAGTAGGCCAAATACATGCTGGATGGTGTAAACGAAGAGTGGCATGGATATGCATGGATACAGAACGTGCAGCTGCTGCGAAAAAACGAAGAATATCCTAAACCCTGGAACTGTCAATATGTACTTCAAACTACACGGGCGGGTACGCACTGCGGTCCCCTGCAGCAAGAGTTGTACAAGGTCAGTCTCTCAGGTCAGCATGTCCTTCATAAGCCCCCATAAGCTTATCGTAAACACTCAAAGCCCTAACTCCAAAGCCCCAACTTCTGAAGTCACCTGGGTTGAGAATCGCGTGGAAGATGGAGGAGCACCGTCGTAGTTGACTGCACAGCTTGAGGTGAAGAGCTTCGAGGCTTGCATTCCATACAGATCACGACCGCTGTCCGAACAAAAAAAGACAACCAATCAGAAAGTTTGGGGCGTGATGGCTTCATTCCCAAGGAATCACTCCGTGTGTTGGACAGTTGAGGTATGGAGGGTCGTTACCTGAGGGTCGTTACCTGAGGTAAGCTTAAACTTAAGGCTGTGGAAAGTCTGCAGGTTGTGGAAGCTGCTCTAGCGCCACCCTGGCGCTTTACAGAAGCTTTGGAGCTGATTTTTGGGGCTCTCAATTTGTTTCAATGCCATTCTGGATCGATGATAGCACGCAGATGCAAACAGCATTTGTCGGGAAAAAACACCATGGCCATACATGCAGACTTGCAACGACTTGGGCGTTTGCGTGATCAAGGAGCAACAAGCAGGAGCCACCGCAGCCACCATTCGCATTGTGGAACAAAGCAAATCCGAAGCCCTGAAACCTAAACTTGTTGGTTTGAAAGCCTATGCCTTCTCTTCCTAATCGAACCAAACCGGAATGCCCGAATTTTCCATGTCATCAAGCGGCCAGCACCAGTGGCAGGCGCTACGCGTGAGGGGGAGTTATTCAGCCTGAGTGCAAGGGCTTAAGGCTTGGTGGATTTTATTTAACTTGTGTTAGCAGAAGGGGCGTAGGCGGCATAGGCGAGGAGGAAGGTTCAGTGCTCAGAGAGGAAGGGTGGGTTGGGGTTTGGACAGCTGCGGGCTATGCGAAAGCACACCACTTACGACACAAAAATAGAACGCACAAAAACTTACGACACAAACAAACTTAGAACGCACAAACTCGGTGTCAAACAGGCTCAGACATTTTCTGTCATGATTTGACCATCTGCGAATGGGGTTAAACAATCCTGAAACGGTCACGGCACTGCCGGGCACTGCATTCCTGGAACCTGCAAGCTCTGAGCTGCTCCGTTTTGGCTCTGCCAGCCCCAACTCAAAAAAACTGCTCTATTTGGAGCTTCAAGTCAGAAGATGCTCTATTTCGGAGCTGGTGCCGTAAATCTTGAGGATCTGCTCCCTCAAAACAGCTCTAGGTTACTTAGTTAAACTTAAGGTCTGAATTTGTTCTGGCGGTTCTGGTTTCTGCTGCAAGCCTAACCTTGCAGCGAAGCCCCTGCTTCGGGCAAGCAACACCTGGAAACAGATCAGACTGCAGGTGTGGCAGCCATGCCCAAGGGCAGTTGCACTAGCAAACCAATGACAGAAAAGCTTGTGGGATGGCTCTGCACAAGAAAACGTCGGACACCACGAGGGGTTCCTTTGCATGTGCTGCGAGCAACCTCCAAGCCTACCCTAGCATGGATAGGGCAACTGAAAGGGACGGTGCAAACACGATGTTGAAGATGGTTGCTGCGATGAAAACGTGGGCGCGAGAAAGGACAGAAATGCAAAGCCAGGAGTGCCAGGAGAGATGGCTGAAAGACCTCGCGGCCAGTCTGCAGGGCAATGCTGTGAAGGCCCTGGCCAAACCTGCAAAAGGCCGTCAGAGGGTGGCATCACAGGTGTTGCCAGGCCTCCCATCTCAGCTGCAGGAATCCGGAGGTGGATGATCTCGAAGAATTAAGCTTCAATTCCAAGCTCTGGCCAGACCGATCCTGTCAATCTGGAAAGCATTGAGATCATCTCGCTTCTCTGTCCTTCTGCCCGGCGAATAAAACGTGGATGGTCTGGGCAAGTCCAAGGCGGCCTGGAGCAAGGAGTCTGCTTTGAAGAAGCCTGGTGCTGCCGTCCAGAAGCTCGCAGAAGGTTTGCCTGCAAAAGGCCCGGCAAGAGTCCAGGAGGTTTGGCTGGGTGATGCCAAGGCGAAGAGCTGTGTGGTTTTCAGATCCGAGGCGATGGAGGAACGACCCTTGGTCGAAGGAGGGCTGTCTTCTCCAATGGCTGGGGCCGAACATGCGGCAAGGCCTGCTGCTTTACGACAGGGATGGCGTCCACGAGATGAAGCAGCCATTCTCTCTTCGTGGTGGTGCCCGTGCAAGTCAGCATGAGGAAGGATGGCCTCGACTTCGTGATAAGACACGAAAGTCCCCAGTGCCCTTCACTCTCAAGATTGTCATTGGGAGCTGAGTGCTCCGTTGGAGCATGCCGAGCTTCAAACAAAGACAGAAAACAGACCTGGGATGACCTGGGCTGATTGGTGAAAGTCCGAGGAACTTTGGATTGGACGAACTGACCAGCTGGCACAGTATTCCAGCATACAACGCCAGGATGTCCCTTCTTCAGCAAAACATGTCGGTCAAAGTTTGAAGCGTCTGTCCGAGCTGTGGCTGGGCTGGAGGCGCAGGATTATGTAACCGCCTGGCCAGGTTCTTAGCCAAAGTATATCCTCACATCACTCACCCACCCCTGCCCACCCCTTTTCACCACCCGACCTCATCCTGCTACGCTTCGCCCCACACCACACGCCGCAGTTGCTGCACCACTACCACCACCGGCCCCACCCCACATACCATGCTTCACCCAGCCGCCTCAGGCCACCTCCACCTAGAAGCGGGCACCTTATCTGTGTTGGGGAGCATTCGGGTAATGATGTGCTCCTTTGAGCCTAGGCTGAGCAGCCCTCGAAACGGGAGGGGGGGGGGCGCTGGCCGATACAAGCAGCATAAGCAACTCTGCAGCATAAGGAGAGAAAAGCAAAACGTCCAGCACCAGTGATCAACTAGAGTACACGTAAACACATTCAGCAAAAGAAGCGGCAAACTGGGCAACAAAAAAACAAAGGGGAAGCATCAACAACGCCTGAACTTCGCTACAAAGCGCACCCTCTGTCAGACGCCACGCGCCCAAGGCACAGGAGTGCTAGCGGCAGCGGGTGCTGTAGTTGTCGGGCGGGGTTGATTGCTGGAGCTTGGAACTTGGCGTTAAAAATGAGGATTCAAAGTTCTGCTGTTGGGATTGAGGTTTCTGGTGGTCTTCCTTTAAGGCTTACAAGCCTATGACTTCAGCTACCTTTAGGATTGGAGCGGCGAATTGCTAACCCGTAGCCGTAAACTCCCAGGTTCCGAGCTCCTGGCATGCTGTGCTGCTGCACGCCCGTCGGCGTGCCAGGTCGCACGGCTTGAGCAGCCTGTGAGATACCTTGGCCGTTCATGGGGAAGCCTAAACAGAGAGCGTTTGACATCAGCTCAACATTCTTTTGGCCTTGAGGAGTCATTCTGACTCCAAAAAACGCCGAGCAGCTCTGCGGGGCGTGCGGGGCGTGCGGGGCACTCTGCTGCGTGCCATGCGCGCCCGGGCCATGCCGGGGGCCTCCAGGTGGGGCACCCCACGGAGCTTCAAACTGCAGCGCTCCGTGCTGCGGCCACGTCTGCTGTTGGTTCTGCCTGTTGCAACACAGATCCCAAAACAAGCGAAGATACATGTCATTGGAGGTTGGGATGTCACTGGAAGGCACATCGGCGACACTTCTTACTGGTCTAAACCGACCTCGGAAGTCCTAAGGTTTCCTAAGCCTTAAGCTCCGACCCGGAGACATGTTTCAGAGGATGTAGGAGATGGGTGTGGGCCCTAGCGCCATACCCAACTGATACATACCCCTCCGGTTCTTGTGGCTTTGAACTTTGAACCCCTGGCGATGCAACCCTGACCACCCAAATTAACCCCCCCCCGCCAAACCCCTGCACTCCTGAACTCCACCCTGTAGCAACCTCAGCTGAGGCACATTTGGGGAGCAGCTTGATCCGACGTCCAGTGGGCCGGGGGGAGGCCTGGAGCAAACCCCGTCGACACGGGTGCATCCGCCGTTTAGATTCGTATGAAGACCTCAATTCCTCAAATCCTCTGGAACTTAAGAGCAAACCTTCTGCTCAAGACTCAACTTAGGGTCTCTTCTATGTTTCGTGGGTTTCTTTTTGTAGGAAAACACCGAACTCTTCAGTTTATCAAGATCCGCGCAAGTGCGACAAGAGAGCGGCTGTGGCTTGCTTTGACACAATGTCAAATGCTCGGTCATCGTTTTTAAGCGCTTGACGAAGCAAGGAAATAGTGGGGTTCTCCAGGCCTGCCAATGCTTTCATTGTGGGTTTTCGTTTGTGCCAGAATCTGCTAGAAGCGGCGCAGCCTCCCCGCCCCCTACCGATAGAGGCATCAAGCCGAAAACAAAAGGCTGTTTTAGTACAGGCATTGCACATTGATGCAAACTCGCCGGAGCTTTGCCGTGTACCCCCCCCCCATTGCAACAGCTTTCATCCCGGCATTGCACGGTGACGCAATCGTCCCGCACTTTTGCAAAAACTGCGTTCAAAAGAGCCTGCACCCTATAAGCACCAGCCCTAACGGCTTTACTGTTCAAGTAGAACTCACCACACTCACCAAACCCCACTCTAAAAGCCCTAGATCAAACTAGCCAAGGAACCGTCCTGCCATGCCCTGCCTTCCTCTCGACATTCGTAGGATTCACGTGTCTATCGTAGCTTCCTGTAGCTCCTGTAAAGCCAGAGCCTGTGGTCATGAACACTTGGAATCATTAAATGCTACTATGTTTTTTTGGAACATTAACACATATTGCAGCATATCTGCCAGCTCTACAAAGAATACCTACCTCAAAACTGCGAAGCACCCTGAAGCGAACCAACCTGAATCCCCAGCTCACCAAGCGGCCAGCACCGCCAATGGCAGGTGCCACGCGTGAGGGAGAGTTTTCCAGCCTGACGTGCGCGGGAGGGTGCAGGGGGGGGGGGGGGGCGGGGGTGGTTAGAATTTTGCGTTAGTAGGCGTGAATGAGTGATGGGCCAGGGGCCTGGACAAGGGGCGGGCTCCACTCAGAAATTTGCGCAGGTTGCTGCGTGTGGAAGGTAGGGAACGGGGTGTGGTGTGGCCTGCGGCATCGGAGTTTGGCATGGCTGTTTCAGCTTGATCTTTAGGTTATAGCAGTGAGGCTTCTGATGTCAAGTGGTACGTCAGCTTCTGAAACAAAGCATCCGTATGAAGCAAGGTGGGGACAAAGAAGGCTCGACATGAAGGCCCCTGCCCCCCTCTACCGTCAATTTCTTCGTGAATGACGTCCAGAGGAGACCAAATAAGATATGAAACTGTGCAGCGAGACATGCTATGGGTATCCCACACAAGGCAAGTCGGGCAAGTCTTCAGGGGCATGCCCCGCTTCGGCAGAAAGAGAATAAGCAAACAGCATCGAAATGGGAGTTCCCCATACTGTTGCAGTTGCTTCTTGGATGAAGCACAGAGAAAAAAACAACACATAAAGTGGCGCTGTGAGGATCGTAGGAATAACCCTCGCAGGACCTTGAGCCATGAACTCCCAGGTTCCGAGCTCCTGGCATGCTGTGCTGCTGCACGCCCGTCGGCGTGCCAGGTCGCACGGCTTGAGCAGCCTGTGAGATACCTTGGCCGTTCATGGGGAAGCTTAAACAGAGAGCGTTTGACATCAGCTCAACATTCTTTTGGCCTTGAGGAGTCATTCTGACTCCAAAAAAAACGCCGAGCAGCTGTGCGGGGCGTGCGGGGCACTCTGCTGCGTGCCATGCGCGCCCGGGCCATGCCGGGGGCCTCCAGGTGGGGCACCCCACGGAGCTTCGAACTGCAGCGCTCCGTGCTGCGGCCACGTCTGCTGTTGGTTCTGCCTGCGTTTTTGTGGCTCGGGCGTGTTGCAAGAAGAAATGCCAAAAACAAGCGAGAATACACGATGATACCGAGCCCTTCTTCAGTCTTTGGAGATTTGACGTTTGCAGGAGGCGGCATCGGCAACGCTTCTTGCTGGACTAGACCAACGGAACTCCGACTGCTGATGTTCCTGAGCTCCAGCCCGGAGACGTGTTTGGAGTGGGCCCTAGCTCTACCCAACTGATACATTCCCTGTCCAGTTCTTCTGACTTTTGAACCCCCGCGATGCAACCCTCGCCCCCCCCCCCCCCCGTGCCTTGGACGCTTAACGTCTATTCTGCGCGTGCTCTTTGTTTTCTTGGATTTTTTCCCGAAAACCAATTCTGAAATTGGGTTCTCGTTTGGCGCTTCAATGCGGAAGGCGTTCTATCGGATCGCTTTGTGGCGAAAAGGCCACGAAGAGGAGACGGTCAAAACGGGAGGCCGCGGAAAACGACACGGTCAAGGGAGGTTCGGAACATTTGCTGGGAGAGGGGTGTGGCGTGGGGAGGCATGGTCCATGCCTGGAGGTTGAGGGGGGGGGAGCACGGATGGGGAGCGTGACATTGGGTTGATGGGCAAGGGAGTGGGGAGTGTCCGCGCCCTCCGCGCCCTCCGCGCCCTCCGCGCCCCCTCCGCGCGCTCCGCGCCCTCCGCGCCCTCCGCGCGCTCCTCGCGCGCGATCCGCGCCCTCCGCGCCCCGCGGCCCTCCGCGCCCTCCGCGCCCTCCGCGCCCTCCGCGCCCTTCCGCGCCTCGCCATCCGCGCCCTCCGCGCCCTCCGCCTTCCGCGCCCTCCGCCCTCCCCGCCCTCCGCGCCCTCCGCGCGCCGCGCGCGACCTCCGCGCGACTCCGCGCCCTCCGCGCGCCGCCCTCCGCGCCGCCCTCCGCGCCCTCCGCGCCCTCCGCGCCCTCCGCGCCTCCACGCCCCCCGCGCCCTCCGCGCCCTCCGCGCCCTCCGCGCCCTCCGCGCCCTCCGCGCCCTCCGCGCCCTCCGCGCCCTGCGCACCCTCCGCACCCTCTGCGGCCTCTGCGCCCCCGCCCGGGACACAGTGTGCTGCATGGTGCTAAGGGTGCATTGCGTCTATTCTGCGGCTGCGTTGCGTCTATTCTGCGGGTGTTTCCTTTGTAAAGTATTTGTTTACAAGGCACGCACGTGCAGCATAGCCTTTAAGTGTCCATCTTACGTCCCCCCCCCCCCCCCCCCCAAACCTTAACAAATCAACAAACTCGAGCCCCCCAAATCCCTGCACCTCAACCCCCTGTAGCAACCTCAGCTGAGGCACATTTGGGGAGCAGCTTGATCCGACGGCCAGTGGGCCGGGGGGAGGCCTGGAGCAAATTCCGTCGACATGGGTGTATTTGGTTTGGGGTTAGGGTCGAAGTCCAAGGCTCAGGTTTCAGCTTCAGCTGTCAGGTTCTTGGTCTTCAGTACCTTTAAGTAGGAGAGCAAAAACGTTGGATTGAAAGGTTTTGCTTGTGAAACAGATCCCCTTTTATGGGGATCTGTGCATGACGATAACATGGCTTGGTTGGTTTGGCTGTGGCTATCGCGGGGTTGGCCTCCCCCACCTTGCGCGAGTGCTTTTACTGGATTGTGTTATCGGCGTCAAGATGTCTTGCTTGTGCAGAAAAGCGACCTGCTCAACAACCCTTCTTGGTTGGGTTGGCTGTGGCCGGGTTGGTGGCTTGGGATGAAAACCCTACTCCTTTACAACTTAAGAGGACTACCCTTTTCCGTCAAGATTAAATTTCTGGGAGAAATAGTCTAGGAAAACATCGTTTGTCTATTTGCTAAGCGATCCCTTCGTAAGCGGCCAATACCCTTTAGGGTTGCACTGCCAACGCCTTCGTCTTGGGTTTTGGGTTGCCCAGACCGCATCTCCTGTTAAGGTTGCTCTGCCGATATGTGCTTTTCATTTCAGCTCTAGGGCTGCCCAAGCAACATCCGTCTATAGGGGGTTTTGGCTTGATTTTAGCTCCCCCCACCCTCCTCCCAAGCAGAAAGCAGTGCTAAGAAACCTGCACCTCCAGCATCAGCCATAGGGTTTTACGGTTCAGGCGAAAACTCCATACCATAAAACCAACCTTGCACCCCAAACTGGTCTCAGAGTTTTTCGACACAACACGGGGGGACCCAAACAATAGGCCCTGAAGCATCCAATCCTAAAGCTCTAAGGCTCACAATGCCAAGTTCTGAATTTACCCCATCACTGTTGGCGACAAGGCCCACGTGGCCTTTTGCCAAAGCACTCGCCAAACACACCACAGGAAAACACAAACTCACCCCGAAAGAACCCTATGCAGCACCATCCAAGACCCTGGTTTTGAGACCAATATCAGGAAGCCGCAAAAGCGAGCCCCAAATCCCACACTTCCAGCTCATGCCTTGAAAGGCCAAATGCCCGAAAACAAAGAACGACGAGAATACGTGAGAATACCCTCAACTCCCCAAACCCCCGAGCTTTCACTGCCTGGCTCCCCAGCCAGCTGTTGAGCGCTTCCGCGGTTGGCACGGCAGGGGCTGCCGCTTTGCCAGCCTTGGCTGACCCTGTGGCCTGTGCCTGAAAACCCCAAGTTGAGGGCTCTTAAGGGGCTTAAGGCTCCTGGGTTGAAGGTTCCCAACTGGCACGGTCACGCGCGGTCAAGGGTACAAAGGGTACGAAGCCAATTGCCCCTAGCAGCTTTGAGGATCGGAAAAGCTGTGCAGGGAGTGCTGGGGCACCTTGGCCACAGAAGGGCAGCGGAAAGGAGTTGGCTTAAGCCACTGAGGCTGGGTGTGGTTTCGAGGCACGTGCAAGCGCGAAATGAAGAGAGCGGGCTTCTGAAGTGTAGCCATGCAAGTAGAATTTTTTTAAGGTGGCTGAGCCGCATTGTGGGTCTGATCCCTTCTGCTGTCACAGGTGCCACAACTTCCTGGAAACCACGGAGGTTTTCTTCCAATCGTTTTTTTCTCGCATTCTTGAGGCATCTCGCCTTATGAGGGCTCGCATCGGGTGTTGGAGAAGGACTTTCGGAAGCTCTCATGTGGATGAGTGAAAGGGAGGGCCCTCAGTGTGATTCATCCGTGAGTTACACACCAGAAAACTCTTTTTTCCAACCCAAACCCGGAGGTTGCCTGGAGGTTGGACTGGTCTGTCTGCCCAGCCATGGCTTCTGGAGGGCACTGTGTCCGAGCTCCTTGTGGCACCGAGGAAGGCTGCCAGCTGTACCTTGACAAGAGTTATGCATGTTGGCTTCGGGTTAAGGCTCTAAGGCTCTAATGTCGAGGGTTAAGGCGAAGATCGGCATGGGGTCTAGCGGATGCGCTCTTTCAAGACGTTGGGTGGGGAGGTCGGTGGGAAGCCTCAGACTCTCGGGGTCTCCACTTGGACACCCTCAACCTAGACCCCAAATGACCCTAAACCCTTTTACACCAACCGCCATCGACACGCAACATTCAACCCTGAGCATCAAAATCCTCGACCAATAGAGCTCCCAGACAGGCTCAGGAACGTCGAAGCAGTCGTTCCTCAGCTGACCAATATGCCGGCGCAACGAGGTGCTACAGTACTTTCTATGCAAACCGAAGAGGCCCCCCCCCCACTTCACCACTAAGCTGCCTCAAAACCTTACATGACAAATTTGCTCAGGTTTTCATTTGATGTGCCCCTGAGTTATCCGCTAGGTGTCCGTGGTGCCCACTCCGCGGCGCCTCCGGCTCCCTGCAGTGACACAGATTGGAGTGATCAAAAGCAGGGAAGGGGATCAAAATTCAAAATCAAGGGTTTGCCAAGTATAATAGGATCTCATCAAGTGGGGGTGACTCCTGCTACAAAGGTGGGGCACTGCCATGTCTCATTGCGCGCATCGCTTTTCCACAGTTCAGCGCCTAGACGGGACTGCTTCAAATTCGCCACAGTCCTATAAAGTCTATGCTGACAACAACATGAACCTAGTGCTCAAGCGGCTTAAGTCCGACGCACTCAAGCTGCCCCGAACAAAATTTCTCTGATCCTTGCCTGCAAGGCCCAAATATAAAACATTGCCTCCGTTCCAGCACCCACCAGTACTCATCCCCCTCCCCCGCGCCCTCTCCATGAATTCTTCAAACGCCACGTAAAGTTTGAGGGCGCGCTTCAAAGGGTAAACGCCTAAAGCCTTAGAATGCACTGACAAAACGTGCAAGCCTTGTCACAGAAAAGAGCCCAGCGCCTCTGTGCCAGAGGCTCGGCAGGAGAGTTGCGGCGCTCGGTGGCCTCGCGTTCAGGATCCTGTCCGGAGCTCGGAGGTTATGGATAGAAAAGGTTCCCTGAGCTTCCTTGCCACAACAGGTTGGCATTGAAACGCATCGTTTTGGCCCGTACGTAGCAGGTGACATTGTAAGGCTTTAGAGAAATGAATATTGGCTTTGGTTGCACAAACACACTAAAGTCTCGCACCCCGCAAACCTGGCGCTTCTAAACCCCATGCCCCAGATTCCCAGTGGTAGTTTGCTGTCTTCCGAAGCTCAGCCTCAGATTTTCAACACGATTCTGCCCATCTTTGCCCCTTGTACCTCGGCCTGATTTGAACTTGAGTGCTTAATTCAGGTGGCGATGGAGTGGGCGAATGAGGACTGGGTTTCTGCGATGTGTATAGTTGCTGTCAGTGAAGCAGCAAGTCCTGGAAAGATGGGCTGGAGATGCTACTGCTACGAAAGGCACGACTCTGCGCCAAAAGGCTGAGGCCCAGATTTTGACCCGGTTTCCCCAAGGGTGCTTTCTTCAAGTTCAATACCAGCCAAGATATGCTTCAAAAGGGGTCGAGTTCAATGCGAGACTGGACGTGCTTCAAACGGGGGGTGAAAGGCAGGCTAGCGTCCCAAAGCTGATCAGCCTGGCTCAGCGAGACGTAGTACGAGTCCTGGAGCAACCAAAACTGAGAGCAAAACCCGGAGCCACGTGTAGGGGCTTCGGATGTTCCGGAGCTAGGGCTCAAGTTGGCAGCGCAAGACGCTGGGGAAGCATGGCGATGGTACTGGAGCTCGATGGTCCGATCACAACCTGAAGGTCAAACAAACATGTCCAAACCTTCATCGTGAGAGGTCCTGTCCAAATTGCCTGCCGTCCTGTCCAAACTGTCTGCTGTAGGGGTTCTCAGCGAACTGTCCTTGCAGATTCTATCGCTTTCCATGTTTTGGTGGGATAGGGTCGGACATGCTTGAAATTCCTCAAAACATCTATCAACTTTTTCAAGAAGGTTGAAGACTCTCAAAGTACCAAGGCTACCCTTCACCTCAACACCCTACGTCTTCAGCTGACCCCCAATTTTGAACACCAATGCGCTTGCAGCTGATCATCCCTAAGCCCTCAACCCGGCCTGGCCCCGGGCCTGGCCCCGGGCCTGGCCCATGGCTAGCATCCACAGCAAAGCTCGTCCTCGGCATGTCTCTGTTTTAGGAAGGGGCTTGGAGGCGTAGAAGAGATTCTAAGCTCCAGGGTCTGTACTGGAAGGTTCGGGGGCTTTTCGAAGGTGGGGGGTCGCATACAACATGCCGTAGACCTGCAGCATTGGCTTGGGGACTTTCGGTTCTCCGATCACCCATCCAAGTCAAGCCGATTCACAGAATCCTTGAACTGTAAGACTGTAAGCCCCATGTTCGATTACAGCCGGCATTGCATCAGATGAGACATCTATACCGAGCTTGATTTTGTCCAGCCTTTCACCGGTGATTTTACTCAGGGCTTCATGTAGACGGGAATAAAGTGACTACGTGTATCCTCTGCTTCGGTGGGGTTTTAACTTTCACGATTGCTCGTGTCTTCCCGCCACAGGCAATTTCGCAAGGACTGTACGATTGCAGCGGCCGGATTTGCACCACTAACACCACCGATCCTCGACCTTCGTCCGAAGGCCGGTCCAATCCATCCATTCCCTTCAGCACACTATCACCTGCAGCACAACCTGGTCCATGCGCTGATGGACTCTCGTCTGCGTGCACAGGCAACATCCCAGCAGAATCTGGATTCAAGACCGAGGCGATTCAACAAGTATTCGCGCACTGAGTTTCTCACAGTCACAAACTACCTGGACGTTCATGTCACCGTGCAACAGTTGCTGCAGTAGTGCTCCTGCTGCATAGCAGGGAACCTCTACAACCTGCAGGGTTCAATGGTACGCGCTTTCCATGTCACATGACCCGTGCATCAGCCACATACATGTCGTCACAAGAGCTTGGTGCTCTTCATTTGAGGATATTTGCGGTGTTTTCAGCTCCACACTGCGGCGCACCACGACATCCGACCCACCGCAGATCCAGAATGAAGCATGGTAAGGTGTGAAGAGAAATCTCGGCTTCTGCTGAGGTCATCGCGGCTGTGGGTGCCTCAGTGGCGTCGGCGCCTGCCAAGTCTGACAAGCCCCAAGCCCAAGAAGCAGAGAGCGTTGCCATAACGGAGACCCAAACGAAATTCCTGAGGCCCTGAACAACCGTGAAAAGCGTCAAGCAAGCTTCTTGACCCAAGAACACAAGTGAGCCTGAGCACCTCCCAAAAACAAATGACAGGAACCCTGAGCCTGACACATGTGACGAAGCTTACAAACAAGAAACGCCCCGAACACTATGCACCACGAAACACATGACATGACACAAAGAACAATCGAGGCATGGCAGGAGGATGCAGGAGGTACGACACAAGATGCTACCAGAAGAAGCTTAGGCCCAGAGTCGAAGCGGAACTGAGGAACTGTGTAAATTTGTGGTCGAGCGTGCTGAAACCGACTGTTGACATTGTTCATGTTCTTGCCCTCCAAACATTTCCAAAGAACTTCTCCACAAGTATCCACACACAACCGAAGCTCACCGATCTTGAGCTCCTCGGGGTATTGTAGGTGCAGGCATTGAGGCTCATTCCGGGACAGAAAGTTTGATACATGGTTAGCAACGCAAGCTTCGAACAGGGTGGCGTTGGGTGGCAATACTTTAGAAGCTCCCAGCCATATGTGGGTCTGTTGAACTACGGAACATCGGAGGTTCCCGCTGGTGAAGAAAAGTTCGCACAACACAGGACAAAAGACTCCATATTCTGATTCTTAAATGCCATACATGTACCCTGAAACCCGAGGACAACTGAAAGCAAACATGAGTACTCGCGCGAACCGCGTCCGAGCTCCCCGGCTCGGCGCAAGTCTTCGGGCCCTGTGCCGGGTGCGCCGGATCTGGGCAGGTCAGGGAATTTAGGGCCTGAGCACTTTCTCCCCAGTGCGTAGCCCAAGGGTTCTTGTTTTAAGTGCAGGGGTGTTGGGCTTAAGGAATGGTTTAGTTGGCACTTCCGCTTGCACGCAGGCCCATGCAATGTGTGCTTGATGCGATAGGAGGTTTGATGCAGACGTGTTCTCTATGAGACTAGAGAAAAGCCCACCACACCAACAAGCCCCCGCCACACTTGGCAACAACTTCTTCTCCGTCACAAACTCCGGAGGCCCCAAACAAACCACCCCAACTGCGGGATGCTTTAGGGATGAGGCTCTCCAGAGGCAGTTTCTGAACCCCATCGGTTTTGAGCTGGGGCCAATGTTTCCATTGACCAGAGACAACCTGAACCTGTCTTGATAAAACTCCTGCGATTTACAGTTCCATTGGAGAATCCTTTCTCCATCTGTGCAGCCTTCGATCTTTGCTGGGGCAAAGTTGAAGTGCTCAGACTGCAATCTTTTCGGGGCGAGCCAAATTGAGCTTGAGGCTTTAGGCGTTCAGGGTGCAGAGTTGGGGCTGCCTTAACCTTCGAGGCTACCGGTTCGCCCTTTAACCCTGACATGAAATAGCCAAAGGCCCAAGGCACGCTGCCCGCACCACCCAATTCTGAACGTGAAGCATCGTTGAATCCTTCCGGGACAAATGCCACTGAATTCTTGTACAATCTTGCCGGTGCAGCTTCAAACACCGTAAACTGAGCACTTGGAGAGTTGGCAACTGCTGCAAATTACTTGCTGCTTTTTCAAAGACTTCACAAGGTGGGGTTACTGCTTGGTCCCAGTTCGGATTCTCGAGCAAAGAGGCTGTTACTTACATAATTTTAAAGTGCGTGGCAGATGCAACCAGAATAGCACACGCTGTCCACGACAGGGTTTCGAGGTGTTCGTCTCCTACACCTGAAAGGGAACTTGGCGACAAACGACCGGACCCAGCAAGGACCACCCGGCATCTGCCCCGCATGCTATGAGCTTGCCGTTCCTCCAGAAACATGTCGCAGGGTCCCATTACAAGTCTAACATGATTTTCGTGCGGATCTGGCAGTGTCCTTTGTTGCGCGCAATCTGCGATCATACCGAGCGATGCCAAATTCACTACGTTCAGCATTTTTGCAAGGAAACGATGCAAAGCGTCGTGCAGACAGACCATTCCGAAACTTCAACCCCGAAGCCGGCGCAAGGGCAAAAAGACACATTCTGCAGCTCCAGGTGGCACCTCAATTTTACCAGGTACATGGCGTGGCTGCAAAGTGGCTGCAAGCTGCCGAAACCCTTATGGCCTTTCTGGCTTTAGATCCGAAAATGCGCCCCAGGGCCTTGAACCCCCTTCCACAACAAAACCCGGCCTGACACCGCTGCGCATCCCATGCGAGGAGTTCCACCGCGTCACCCAGTCCGGCCTCCACCGGTCACTATTTGTGGGGTTTGAAGGTAACAACGAAGGTAACAACCAGGATGGGAAAGAGGGTAGATCAGGACATGAGTTATGGATTCTTAATCGCCGGGCAGCAAAGGTTCAACTGTTCCACTGGGTGGGTGGTTCTGCGGCGGCCAACACAGCCATGCGGGGCTCGTGTGGTTTGAGCTGGGAATGATGCTTGCCTGTCCAAAGTTTCAAACTCAAGCTCCCGAGCTGTGATATCTTCATGGTAAGTGTGGGATGTGGTTCTCAATGCTGCTCTCCGCTGCGTAGTCAGCAGCTTCCTGCACGACCAAAACTTCAAAGCCACCTGTATTTGAGCAAGTTCAGAATCCACTTCCCCACTCCCTGAAACCTGAGCTTTGCTGTGTGTCTTGAGCCGGGCCGCTTCAAGACGTTTTAAAGCCCCAAGCTCAGCCACTGGACCCCGTTTGAAGTTCGGTAAGCCCCCAAAGCAACACCGCGTAAAACCTGGTACTTCTGGATCCCTACTGGCTTTACTTCACTGGGCTCCCGGGCCGCATTCGCGGAAGCAGTGACGTTGGCCTGGCAAGCCACAAGGTTCAGAAGAGGGGTTCAATTGAGTCAGCCCTGAATGGGTTCAGGGCTGCTGCAGCTCGGCTGCATGGGTCGAAACCCTCCAGCCCTACGTGCACCCTAAAGCCCTGATGGCATGTTTCAGCGGTGAGTCAAGCACCACCAAAGTCCTTGAAATCCCGAGGCATCATTGCGCATCCGAGTTTTCCGGGTTCAGATTACAAGTGTAGGGATCCGGCTAGTACTGCTCCTGCAACCTAGCCTGTCTGTGAGACTCCCTTCGTCCAAGACCTAACATTCTGAACATCTGAATCTACTGGGCAAAATCGTATGTATGTGATATGCAAGTTTGCCTTTTCCAGTTCTTCTCACCGCTCGTTTAGTTGTGTTTGTGTTCCTGTCGACCCAAGGAATGTGTTCTGACTCCCTTCATCTCTCAATCTTCATTTATACTATCGCTGTGTATTCATGTTGTAAAACAGAACATTTCGCACATACTCTGCGAGCACGTGCTGTTTCTTGGATGTGCTGCGTTGCTTGAGTACATCCTGTTCTATTTCTTGTTAAGAACGGAGCCGTGCACGTGGCTGGCAGCGTCGCCGAATTGCCACCACTCATGGAGGTGCAAGTGCTTTTCAAACAAAAAGGTGCCTATATCAAACAGGGCAAGCTGACGAGATTAGCTGTTGAAGCAACCCAAATCGAACAATGTTCATTGGGTCGATTTCAACAACCTGAATGATGTAGCAACGCCTGTGCAAAGAACCGTGGCCGCGCTTGTTGGCATACTGTTGGTACACGGAAAACACCTATAGAATTTCAAAGGGTCTACTACGCACATCTGTGCTGCAAGTACCAACGAACCTCAAACGACAATCCATGCATCCTCGACTACATTGCCGGTACATTCATTTCAGGGGCGCTCTCTGCCGCTGTCGCTGCTACTCTCGCTGTTGCGGGTGGTTCTGTGGTCCGCCCTCTGAAAACTTTCATTTTGTCATAAGCGATAAGCGATAAAGACTAAAGGCCACCTGCCGGCAGAATCTTCCAATGTGCTGGTAGTTTGGGTTCAGTCCCAACTGCAAGCCAGGCAGGCATCGATGGTCCCATCTGCATCGGCCAGCGTGTACAGCCTTGGGCTTGGGTGGCACTTGTCTTGGGGCTCAAAGGGGCTGCTCTTGGATTCGAGGCTTGACCTAAAGCAAAGTCCAAACCTGAAGAGGCCATGTCTTCAGAGGCTTTGTTGGGCCTGTAGGGTTCCTGGGGGGCGGGGGGGGGGGGGGGGCAGCCGTGACATGCGCCTGTTGCGTTTGTCAGGTCTTTGCTCTGATGCTTTGTGCTCCGCGCCATATGCGTATAAGCACCAGGCGTTCCTGTCCCAGTCGTGAACGACGGATGCTTCTTCAGCACCTGTACCGCGGGCTGATGCGTCGCAACCTGAGCCTGCCATTTCTTAAGCCAAGGAACGTCCTTTGCCAATGACCTTTAGAGCCCTGAATAGCCCAGAAAGCGCAAGTGCCCAAAATCCGTACGGTCGTGCAACCTTCTCCTGTACCAAGAAAGCACACAGGCTCCCCCCAGCCAGCCTGCAGAACAGGACGTTGGTTGATCCATTCATGTCCTGTGCCGGCAGATCTTCAGTGCTTCTGTCAGGCCCACAAAGAAGATCCACAGCTGCGCCGTTAACTGTATGGAATTCTTTTCTTTGTACCTGCTGCTTCTACAGGCATTGACGGGGTTCTCCTAAAATCCTGGATTCCGCCGAAGCTTTCTCCAGACAGAGAACAGGGGAAGGGGGTCAAGTTGGAGCATGCTGGGGGGAAACGGATCTCACTAGGTAACATGGGAACATATGAGTCCACAAATCCAAACGACCTGAAAACCATGCGGACGTCAACTTGGGTCGTGCCCAGCTAAAGTCTCGCTTCGGAACCCAGGGAAGGCAAACACGGTTTTCCCCTGCGCAAAAATCCGGGGTTTCTACTTGACCCCCCCCCCATGTGTTCGTGTTCCAGCTTTCCTTCAGGTAGCTAAGCTCGGAACCCGAGATGAAAACCCTTTTCTGAATGTTTTAGTGGATCCGGTATCTGTTTCGGGTTGAGCCTTGACCGGGTAAAGATTGCTTTTTGCTCTTTGTTGCGTCTTAGGTCCTGAAGTAAGCACTGTCCGCTACAGCATGTTTAGTCTGCAGCACAATTCCATGTGATTGACAACTGCAAACGCTGGCAGCGGGCTCTGCGAGTCAAATTTGAAACTTTTTCTCCAACCACACAGGACCAGCTCCTTCCAACAACAGTTGGATTGTTCCGTGCTGCATCTGCATGGCCGCGAGCAAGCTTTCCGGATTATGTGCGCTATGCTTCTGGTCAGGACTTCAGGGTCCCTGTCATGAAGCTGTGAGGTTGCTTCTCATCGGGGAGGCATGAAACAACAATATTGAGGACAATTATGGACTCGAACCTCCAGTGCAGGGATGAAGTGACGATGGCTCAGCGAACATGTTTCTCTAAGCCGCAAATGCTGCGCCAACAGTGAAGGTCATGCCCTTCCATCCCGAATTCTCCGGAGAAGCACCAGAAAACTGAGTAGCCCCCTGCTGTATTAACAAAACACAACAAATCTCTGACTTGCCTGAGGCCTTAGCTGTGTTACTCTTCGCCTTTGTTGGGCCGTTTGCCACTTACTGCGGCGAGCGCTTTACTACCCTATGCTGCCGGTTGTTTTGATCTGCTATGCATGGTTGGCTGCCTTAAGCAAGTCCCTTGAGCCTTGTGGCAATTTTCCAGCTCCAAGCCCACTCTCCGGGGTCATTCAACAGCACAAGCGCTGGTCGAGCCCGGAGACCCGGAGAGCTCACTCCTCCAGACCAAGAAACCATTTCTCAGCTGATGGTTGGGAGGGTTGGCAAACGGGTGTTATTCATTGCACTTCTTGCATGGTAGCCATGCGCAAAAAGGCAGCAAGCGCGCACTTGGAATAGTGACGCCGTGAAGCGCATGTGCATCGTATTGCCGAAGTGGATGATGCTAGCAAGATGCCACGACGGAGCGCCAGAGCTCAACCCTTAACCCCAAACCCGAATCCAAATTCCACAAGACCCCACTTTGCCCAGTTAGGCGTATGGCACCTAGATAGATGTCAGCATTATTCCTCGGATGGTAACTTAGGTTGGGATCTTTGGGTGGATATCCTAGTATTGGGGTTGTGATCTTGAGATAGATTTTATCCTAGCGTGGGGGTGCCATACACCTAGCTGGGCAAGGTATCCTCTAACTTCAACCCCCTTGAACCACCGCAATTTCAAAGCCATGCCTGGTCCAAGTCCGTTGCCAGCAGCGGCTGGCTTGTCGGGCTTCCTCTCATTGGCCCAGCAAGCCTGTTTCTGGGCCGGGGGAAAGGCCGGAGCCGAAAGACTCTAAGACTCTAAGGTGCGTTCCGGGTCCTAAAGCGCCAACGCAAGTCCGGGCTTCCCCACGGTTCTAACTCCTCGACCTCCTCCCGGTTCTCGTACACCGCCGACCTCCGCACATCGGGCGCAGAGAGCGTTGAGAGCATGAGAATGCTTCGCCCGGACCCCAGAAATAACAGCAGTAGGCAGGCCTAGAGTCCTTGAGCCCCAACCTGCTTCAAACCTCAACCCCAAATCCTCACCCTCTCGGATCAAACACAGCAACCTCCCCAACCCTTTGAAACCCATGAAAAGCACCAAACATGCACATGTGCATGTCTACACATTCCTTGGGACGCGGCTCTCGCTCTTTGGAGCCGGTTGTGGAGTCACTGCAAATCATGCCTGGTCTTGGTCGGCTGTTGTGTGGTGGGGTTGCTTCAAGCTTTACAAGTAGCAAGTTGCCGTTGACCTTCCGCTTCGGGTCAAGATGGCCTCAGGCCCTAGGTTGAAAGAACTGAGGGAACGGATGCTCGGGCAATGCAAACCTCCCCATGGTCCGGGGAAACCATGCACTCGAGACAATTCGTTACAACCGTGAAATCTACGTCGACCGCGAAGCCGAAACCTCTGCAGCATGCCAAACGATATTGCAACACGCGGCTTGAGATGCCTCGGAAGATCCTACAGGCTTTGGGACCCAGAGCTTACTCGGAGTTTGAAGTTTGAAGCTTAGCTTTTTCGCCCATAGGGTGTTTGAGGTTGAAGGTTGAGGGCTTGGGGTTTGACGGGTTTAGGATCTCAGTTGCAGAGCCTGGGCGGAGTCTCGGCGGCTTTGATGCTCAAGGTCTCAAGTACCATACCACATGCACGCCTTCTATGCACGGTGTCTGGAACTCTCGCTCCCCTTCCTCCCGTCTGGCGCTGCCACCTGTCTCCTTAACCACCCCCCTCCCTCGTTGTCTACCGGTCTCCCTGCAACCTTCGGAAGAGCTAAACATTTGCTTCTAACCCTCGGAAAAGCTGGGTATTTGTTTCTTTGTTTTTGCATCTTCGCTACTATATGACAATAATGCCGTTTTCTTGTAGTACTCTTCTTAATGAGTGTACAAAAACCTGCAAAGCTTAATGTTGCAGAAAGGTCAAATCCGAGCCAAATCCTGACGTGTTCGAGTGTCGGAACCCATGCCCAGGTGTCCAGCCGATGATAAAGAGGCCGCAGACGCCGATCGCTAAAAGCCTGAGACCCACAGAGCCCAAGTTGTGGAATCCTTGCACCCCTACGCCTTTTAAGCCTTTTAAGCCTGGGGCTCTAAGCCCTTCTGGATGGTGTGCGCGCAACGCGATGGGGGCCTCCCTGTGTAACAAACGATGAACGGGAGCGCCAAGTAGTGTTAGCGACCACTTCGAGGCTTGCCATTGGATTCCTCTACCAAACTTGGTAGAGGAATCGTCAGTGTATAGCGATTGGTGACATGCGATGTGAACTCTGATATCATGGGCCGACCGGCAGCGCCTAAATGGAACAAATAGCACGCTGTACTGCCTGCCGCTCACTGCACGCCAATGCAGCATGCTCCAACCACGAAGCCCTGCAAAACCTCACCTTGGCAGCTAAACAGCTAAAAGAATCTCATCTCTCCCTCACAAAAACCAAATAACCACCGAATCCCCGACGTAAAGTCGCCATGAGGCCATGGTCATAGATTAGCCCCAAATTCAAGCGGCGAAGAATAGACCATAGCTGAATCCTCTTCGACACGCGTGAGAGCCCAGACCCCGACAGTGGCCGCCCAGGCTTCAAAGCATTGTAGATTTCGGGCTTTCGGGTTCGACAGCTGAACTGAACCCCAAACCCCCCCGTCGTACTCAAGGGCAAAAGATCGTGAAAAGTCACAGGTGCTTATCACGCCGCGCTTGCACATCCATGCACAATGACTTCTCGTAACTTCCTGCCGTTTTGCAGAGTACGACTCTGTTCTTCATCTGGAGATGCTCGGAAGCAGGCGGAGGTGGTTTCTTTCCTAACGTTGGCTCTGGCTCGTTTCACGTTTCCAAATGCGCAAACAGAACACCTCGAAGGCAGACTTCCCTTGCCGCATATTTTGCATTTGTTCTGTGCCTTGGTGCTGCAAAAAAGAGACGCAGACGAGCACCAAGAGCGACAATGTGTATGTGTATCTTATCTTCCAGATCGATGGATTTACCGGTTCAGCAGCGCTTGAGCCTGGAGTCCAATAAGAAGTGTGGTCCGGACAAAGGTGTGTCGTTCACTCACCTCGCTGTGTAGGTCCCACCGAACAGGCGTAGGGGACATGAGGCAACAACGGCCTGTGTGATACACCTCTCTTCCTGCGGCTGTGTGCATGAGCTGCGCTTGCTTTTTGCCTCCAAACTGTGTGCTTTCCAGGTCGGTGAGTTCCGCCATTGGAGTCCCTTTGACTTGGATAGGAGTATCGGTATCGGAGTATCAGCGCTTGATACTGAAGTCCAAGAAGTTCTTGAGTTCTTGAACGAGGTAAATGGGGGGGGTGTCCTCGCATGCCGAACTCGACACTGAACTCTGACACCATCCCCTGTACCCTGACAAGTACACCAAGCTCCGCACGCGGATATCAGTGAAACCACTGAGTTCTTCTGCCTCATCCGAGGCGATTACAAAGGCAAGATCACTGTAGACAGTCTACAGAGCAGTATAACAGTATAACTTAACTTGTTTAGCAGCAGGAACTCGAGGTCTTATCGGGAGCTGGCGTCCACCCTCATGGCCTCACTCATGGAAGCCTCGACTTTCCTGCAATTCAACCCTTGCCGCAGGACGTGCTGGAAACAAAGGAGCTGAATGGTCTGAATGGTCCGAAAGGCCATACTTTTCGCAGCTGTTGCAAAAGCTTCCGATGAGAGATGACTCCGCAGGGTAGCCTTGTTCTTGGAGGGCTTTGATCTCAGAGGGCTTTGATGTGAGACGCAGCTGCGCAAGGTTCATCTGTGCCCGCCTCAAACAGACTCAGATGTCAACCATGGATGGGTGCTGGGCGCCAGACCCTAAACCCATACTTGTAGTAGGTTCTTTTGCTTTTTTGCTTCTGTGCCTAAGTGGGTGCAAGTGGGGTATGTGTGCTGTCCTCCGAAGCGAACCCAAGGTCCTGTCAAACCGCGGCCTGAAACCGAAAGAGAACGACAAACATTGAAAAGATGTTTAAGTCCAGGCTGCTTTCCCTTCTCGCATTTGTACAGGTTTGGCACCAAGACCTGCATCTGCGTGCGAAGTTGTCGGACTTCCGATGCAGACTCCAGGCAGTGTGCCGGGAGGTCTTTTTGGGGTTCTTCGGGGTTCGACAGGAGCCTGTTTCGGGTGACCGAAGACAGTCAAAAGTCAAACTCAACGACTCGGGCATATTTTGGCTTCCGGATTCTCCACATTTACCGGTTCACGGTCTCAGCTAGGGTCCAGCTCCTAACCGTACTCCTCAAGTGCCTCACACAAGACGGGCCTTAAGGCTTGCCCCACATCCTGTCGAACCTCTTAGTCGTAGTCTTTCAGCCCGAGGAGCTTCTTAGACCACGTCGGCAATCTTGAAATTCTCACGTGGGTCGGGCCCTGTAAACCCTCGAGACCCCATCATGTGCTGTGCTCAGGCAGTTGCTGCGTTCTCGCAACGGAGTCGATCCACATCGGGCGCGAAACCTTCGATGCAAGGTCAAGGGGTAGAACTTATGCCTCTTGATATCAACCAGCCCTGAATAGTGCCAGACGGAGGCACTACAGGGTGATAGGAGCTACAATAGCAGCTAGACGAGCAAAAACGGACGCAGGCCATTAGCCTTGCTGTAGAGGACCCACCCGGCCACGAACACGCCAGAATGCGACACGGGGACGCGACAGGAGAGACGGTCACGACGCTTCTGACACGCGACGATCTAGGGCATCTAAGGGTTCAAAGGTGTGTCCAAGCTGTGTCCAGAGTTGCTAGAATGTCGCGATGGTTGGCTTTGTCAGAAGCAGAGGGGTTTGCGGGGCGCAGTTTCCACTATTGGCAACGTTTTGCCGAGCATTTTATTGGATGCAAGCGTCTTGTTTGCCAGGCGAGGCGAGGAGGATGTGTTCATGAAAACACACCTTGGTTGGGTTGGGTGTGACTGGGCTGCAGCCAGGCTTTGGCTTGGGTTTGGTAGAGCAGTGGGGTTGAGTGTCGCAACCACCTTACCGAGTGTCTTTTGGATGCAGACGCATCATGAAAACATGGCTTGGTTGGGCTGGCTGTGACTGGCCGATGCAAGCGTGCCGGGCCTTTGAACATGTGCCTTGGCTTTGTTATAGCAGAAGGGTTGGGGGGGAGGGGAGGTGGGCTGTCTTCCATGCCTTATTTGTAACAGTTGCTACTGCAGGATTCTGCAGGTTTGCCGAGTGCTTTGTTGGACTTTAAGTTATTGCTTGGCTTTGCATGCTTTGCTATTTTTGAATTACGTATTTATGTGCGTCGTTCTTCCATTGATGTATCTAGTATAGTTAAAAATGTTTTTATCTAGTTCTTTCGTTCCTGGCTTCTTTCTTAGTATGTTTGTGAATGAGAGTCAGAGTCTGTGTCAGTGTCAGTGTCTGCGTGTGTCTCTCTCTGTATCTCTTCCGGCCTTTCTGGGGCTTGGCGCGCGCTTTCTCTTTCTCCTCCTCCTCTCTCTCTCTCGCTCGCTCTCGCTTCTTCACACTCTTTTCTTCTTCTGCGCCCGAGGTTCGGTTGCGTCATGAAACTCCCCTCAGCACAAACCGATCACTCCCTCTGACTCTCTGACTCTCTGACTCTCTGACTCTCTCACTCTTTCTTTCTTTCTTTCTTTCTTTGGGGCATAGGGACGGACCCTGCGCCTAGGCGCGCCCCGATCCCGCGTCTCGCGAACCACTTCTGTCACAACATGCCGCCGCCCTGTTGGCGGCTCCGCGGCGCCTCCTTAGTGGCCTTAGTGCCCCTTATCCATTCCTTATCGGGCCAATCCCCCATAGTCGCCTAAGCGCCCGTATCCAGTCAACACCGGCCCCCTACCCCATCAGGCCCAATTCGACCCCCAACCCTCACCCTGAACGCCCCAAGTCCCTCTCTCTCACTCTCACTCACTCTCTCTCTCTCTCTCTCGCTCTCTCTCTCTCTCCCTCTCTCTCTCCCCCTCTCTCTCTCTCTCTCTCTCTCTCTCTCTCTCTCGAACTAAGATGAGGTCTCTCTCTCGCCAACTGCATTTTTGACTAGTTCTTGCCGATCTTGATTTAACTTTATATGGCCCCCCAAAAGGCCGCTGAAAAGCAAAGAAGCCAGCCAACAGGTCCAACAAAAGCCAGGAGCTGAGAAGCCAAGCAAACACGACCGCGCAAAGCCACGATGGTCTAAAGGGCACTGCTTGTGATCCTTATTGAGCTTGCTTTTGATCATTATTTAGCCTGTTGCTGTTTGTGAACTGTTATTGATCTCTATCAGCGTGTCGCCGCCCTGCACGGGATCATTTCTTCGAGCAAACGATCACGTGCCTCTTCCGATCTTCGGTGCTGGAACCATGGCTGTTACACAGCTGCAAGGGCACAAGCCCTTCCTGGGATAAAAGAATTGAAGTGCACCGCCAAGTGTGAGCAGATGAAAATGGAAAATAATTCTGCATGGATTGAAAGCCCTGAAGCAGAAAGCCATGCATGACACGATTTTTTACCAGCTGCAAACTCTTTGGACAGCAGCCCGCACAAGAAACTACGGGTTCAGGGCATTCATGCTTGAGCGGATCTTGCCTTGAAATGAGAGACAAGCGGGGCCCTCAGCAAGCTCATCCCAAGCATATGACTGAAAGCCGTGCAGGTCAAGCAGTGACGGGGCAACGATGCGGATCGTCAGCAAGGGACCGAAACACAACGACTGTCATGAAGACTGTGGCCTGCAACTCTCAGCACTTTGGACACGACGTGAAGATAAGTTGAGCATCGAACAACGTCGACCGTTGCCAGGACCGCGACGCGAACAAAACACGAGGAAAAAACATGTGGATTTCCACAGGGTCGATTTCCAGTATTTTCCAGTCAACACCCCAACCCAAACCCTTGAAACGAGAACCCTTCGCTACGCATTCGGAGAAAACACTACGTAGGCTAAAGTCCTGAGTGCGCTGTTCAGGAAAGTCAAGATTGCAGGTTTGCTGGTTTGAGTTGACAGAGATTTCAACGTTCAGTCTCAAAAATGTCTCAGACCCTCGCAGCAAGGTTTCGGACCGAAACGTCCAGGCTCCAAAGCTCCATGAACCCGGCCTGCTGGGCAGTATGCCGTGCAGTAGTCGCCGCTCTGGATCAGCTGGCCCTCCACGCACCTCCATTCCAGAAAAACGTGTGGAACTTAATCAGCCTTGCAAGCATGCCAGCATATGCCAGCAACCATTCGGACACTACTGTCTAAATAACAAAGAAGCAGCTCTGCTGCAAGAATCACCGAGATCATATGAATCGCCAAGCAGACCGCGCATTGCTACGACCGCTGAGCTTCTCAGAGAAATGCGGTTCTGAGTTGTGACTTCGGTGGGCCCCTGTACCTTTGAACCTCCGTGAACGCCCAAACCCATGGATAGTTTGCACACTCCACACTATGAGGTACCATTCGGGTGCCAGGAAAGGCTAAAGGTATAGATGGCGCAGGCTCGCTTGGGGGGGCTAGTTGCTGAACATGGCCAACTCTACAATGTGCCGGGGCACCCGGGACCCTGAGCTCTGAAAGCCCCAAACCATCCTTCAAAGTACTAATCTAATGGGTCAGGCTGTTGCTTCGGTCCATTGAAATCCAGGCATCTCCCCCTCACCAACCAGAGAAACCTTCAAAACCAAAGCGACGGGTTCATAGAAAACCGCTTCGAGTGCAACCTTCGGGGTTGAGGGTTGGGGCTAAGAGCGTAGTAGAGATTTTAGCATCAATAGCCGGCTTCATTTGCTACACTGGGCTTTAGCTTCAATTTCGCTCTGCCTTAAAAGGAAACTTTCTGCGGAGCTGCAGGGTTCTGTATACTGCTGGGTAGTTTATTCACGGCCGTTCACGGTCAACTATCTCAATGGCTTATAATGGCTTGACACTTCACATGTCTCCACAAGCCGTGCCGGGCGCACCAGTGCGATGGTAGGTCGCAGGGGGCTGTGCCTTCTGCAAATTGAGCCTTCAGAGATTCAGAGCTCTTTGAAGACAACTACCTTTGGGGGTGGAAAATGTTTCGGAGACTGGGCTTGCATGGTTGCACAGCGTTGAAGTTGAGGGATTAGGTGTTCGTGTTCGTTCAGGGCTGTTTGGGCTCAAGTGTTGAGCAGCTTGAGAAAAGATGTCTACAGTACATGTCGAGGCCAGAAAACACCCGGAAAGATGATGAAGTGCTGAGTATTGCTCAGTATTGCGCAGTGCTTCAGTGATGACGCAGATCGTTACACCATGTTCCATTGGACATTCAAATCTACATGCGGAGGACAACTTCGGGTCGGTCCTCAAGCCGTCTTGGCAGCTTTGCCAAAAGGCTAGACACCCTTTCACATGTCGCTCCTGTCACACTGTATCAACTTCTGCAATACCAGGGGTGAAGGCTTAGACAGAAAAAGCGTGGGCAGTAAAACGCAATGCGGAAGGACTGAGGCAGAAAACGCACCCGGCTTGTTCAGGCCTGAGTCGGAAAACGCGGGGGAGGCTTGACTTGGACTGCTGGAGTTTGGTTCGCAGGGTTGCCTGGTCGCTCAGCTGCGCGGAAGCGAGGCCACTGACAACCTACACACAGAGGTCCGATTTCTGCAGCCACGGATCTAAACAGGCTTGCCAAAGCCCCTTTCAAACCGCATGCGCATTAGGTAGCCCATACAACTAGACCCTAAACTTAACCTTGACTAAGAACTCAACATCATGTACTTTGACTATCTTTTTACATGGCCAGGCTTGCTTTGCGTGCGAATCGGGCCGTATGCAGCGAATCAGCGTACAACAAGCCGAATGGTTGTGCCTCAATTGAGCCGATAGTTTCGGAACAGGCCTTTCTGAAGGAACACTCCCAGAAGAAACTGTACCTTCCGAACCAAACTACGTAGTCTCAAGCAGCGGGACTGGCAAACAATTTGCCATACAACCACCTTCGCTAAAGGCTTGAATCCCAAAAGGCCACAGAAACTCAGGATCCAGGAATCCAGAGTCCAAAGATCTATGGCCGGAGTTTATAGAACAATCCTGAAGCACTCTGTGTGGTTTTGCCGGGCTTTTAGGGTGTTGCGATCAGGGAGTGGGGAGCCCTTGAAGACTAACATTGAAACCTCGGCCCCAGAAGCCTATACCCTTGCGGCCACGCTGCCAGGCACAAGACAGCTGACAGCAGCCGTGGGTGCAGCCGCGGGCGCAGCGCAGGGACGCACTGCCCAAGGACCGCCCCCATGGCGTGAAGGCGTAAAGGTGAATAAATTGCTGGGTGGTGCAAGGCGTTGCTTCAGCCCCCAAGTTGCGGGCAATGGCAGTTTGATCACGTGGGGAGTCTCTGAGTTGGTCTTGCAAAGGTTGGGGGCGTGACAAGGGGCTTTGGCATGGTTTTTGGTGACCTTTTCTTTTCCTTGTAGACTTGACTTGCGTACCCGAAAGCCAATAAGCACAAGGCCGATGTCTTCTGCATGGAACCGGAACACTGAAGCTCAAAACACTAAGCCCTGGATGTGCTATGCAAAATCACAATTCACAGAACCACTGGCTCGGCATTGACATGCTGCGCAGCAGCTTTAGCTTGAGACTTTGAGAATCAAACGGAGGCGGTCAAGGTTCCATCTCTGAAAGCGTGACCCATAAACTTCGGGCTTTAAACCTCAAGTCATCCAAGTTGGAAGCTCTTAAGTCGCAAGTTCTCCATTTGTTTCAGGCTGACCAGCTTGGAAGGGGTGCCGAATGAGGCTAAAGTGACAACTCTATAGTATTGAATTCAAGAGTGTTGGCTGATACGGTACACTGTTCGATGCAGAGGTGGTGGTCATTGTCTGGGGAGTGAGACCTAAAAGAAGCTGCTCTGGACGAGGCATTCAAAAAGATGACGAGCTGTCTTTGGCCGCAGTATGCTTGCCAGCCCAGCAGTGATCGGGTGACTCGTTGTTGGTTGTTACGTTGTTTTTGCTTTTGTCGTTTCGTTGTTGGTGTGGCTGCCTCTTTGGATCAAGTGCCGTGTTTCTCAGTTCGGGACGCTGTGCCTCAGGCTTAAGAGTTGCACCCGCGGGCTAAGTCGGAAGTGTGTGTGTGTGTGCGGCCCATTCCCTCCCACATCCTGTCAGATTGAGGAGTTGCCGCTTCACCTGCAAAGGTCCCAGACATCGAGCCCGAGCGTGAAGTGAAGCCTGATGTTGTCTTGGTGGTTCAGGGGCTCATGGTTTACAAGCCTCTCCCGTGCTATTTTGACCCCCTGGCTTTGCAGCGGTATGCTCCCCAACTGAAAGCGGGGATTCATTGCAGGAAGTAAGACTTGAGACTGCAATTGCTGCAACTTGCTCATGGGAAGAATGCTCAGGCAACCATCATCTGACTTTCGGCATGCCGAAAGAATGGACCTTTAGACACTTGATCTCCGAACCCTCACACCTACATCCTGAAACCTGAATCCTATATTTCGGGGCGAAGTGGGACTTGAGGGTTGGGAACTAAACGCCCGAGCAGTCTCAACGTCCTGACCCCGAGGGGCTGTGGCAACGACGGAAGCGCTCCCCTTGCTTCCGCTTCAGAGGCATCATTTCACATAGGGATCTGGGAGAGGCCCTTGTAATCCCGCAAGCTCTGAGAAAAAACGTCCCCGAACATCTGCTCCTTCAGTCCCATCCCTATGTGAATGCCGGGCATTGACTGTGCCGAACCCATACAGAATGGAGCCCTGCCACATGCAGAGGTCAGAAGCAGTGTCGCGATTGGGTTTAAAGATGGACTTAGTGGCACACCTGACCTCGGCAGATGGCAGAGCCGCACAGCTACACATGACAAACACTTGATCCAAGACGTTTGGTGGATTGCAACCGATGCTCCTGAGTGCACAATGCCAGCATCGCAAAATCTTCAAGACGCGCCCAGAACTTTACGCCTCCTACACGCTGCCAAAAGCCCTATGTCCCAAACCCAACTACCCATGGAGAACACACAACCTACAGGAAAAGCGTCCATGTGCTATGGACCTCCACCTATTATGTAACTGCACCAATTTGTCATTTGTCGAAATGTTTTCCTCAAAGTCTTAAGGTGATTGGTGCTTGCGATATGCATTCGGAGAACAATTTCTTTCAATACCTCAGGTGGCTTTTATATTGCATTTTTCAAAGTTATACAAAGGTACATGGCACCATGCTGTCAAACGAAGAACTACTTGTTTAGCTTGAAGGCAACCGGCCTTTATACCCAGCTTCGCGCCGCCAAAACAGATCCCTCAACCTCAAGAATGAAACTTTGAAGCCTGGAATGTGTGTTGCGAAGCTGCGGGCTTTGAACCGCCAGCTCTAAGTTCTAACATTTCAACCGTGGCGTCTTTGTCTTGGAGCTGTGGCAATCAAGTCTCGCCAATCTTGCCGTCCCTACAATTATGCAGGGCTCTGAGTTTTGCAGCTACTGTATCGTCTTGTCACTCTTGCCCTCAGGTTCAAGATGGCTGCGTATTTGAGGAGCATGGTTGCAGGGTACCCTACATGTGCCGGAAACCGGGCAGTTGCAGCGCCACATCATCATCATTTATTTCCATGGAAGGTCCCACGCTCAATTACGCACAAGCATCGAAACCCTGATGCCTTTGCCCGAAAAGGGCCCAACAACGATGTGCCAGCATGTCCTAATAATGAAAGGAAAAAATGCTATTTTATTATTAGTGGAATTCCTTAAAGGATTATTAGAAGATAGAAAATGTAGATTAAAAATATGAAAAAGAAGAAAAGCACAAAGAAGAAATGGAAATATAAAATGAAAGACAAAGAACCTCTTTAATGTTGGATTGTAAATATAATGTCCTCCACAAAGCCATTCTATTAAAGATGGAAATGGAGATAATGAATTTGTAATTACTGTAACTCCTCATAAACTCATTTGTCCTAAAGGTAAAACATAACCCATAAATGCTGTTCCCATTAAGAAGAAGTAAATAATAATTTACTGGGGGAGGGGGAAGGAACAAATTAATAACTGCCACTTGCCCCATGGCTCCACTTGCCTCCTTGTGACATTTTCCCTTGCTACGGAAGGAAATACCCCACCCGTAGAGTCCACATGTTGAGTCGAACTTGGCCATAAGGACTGCAGTGTCGTCCCGTAAACCAAAAGCTGGATCCGTTTTCGGAAGGGCTTGAGGATGCAGCCTCTAAGGCCGAGGCTAGATCAAATGTTGACTGTAAGGGACACTTTGGATGGTGGGAGGGGTGCCAAACCGCTTGACCATGAAGGAGACTTTCATTGACCGACCGACGGTGTGTCATGGTGTCACACTCAGGACACGTGGCGAGGCCAGCGCGAAGCATACTGTTGTGGCTGTGTGGGTGGTGGTGTGGTTGATGGGTGTGGGCGGTGGGTGTGGGCGGTGGGTGTGGGCGGTGGGTGGGGGTGGTGGGTTGGCGGGCGGATGGTGAGTGGGTGGGTAGTGGGTTGGTGGGCGGGGTGGTGGGTGGGATAAGCGGATTGGGCGGATGGGGTGGATCGGGTGGATTTAGCGGTTTGGGTGCTTTGGGCGGTTTGGTTGGGCTGGCTTGGGTCATTTTGCTTTCCCACGTAGCATGAGATGAGGCAAGTGGCGCTTATGACTGGTCATGACACAGTAGGACAAGGGGGAGCAAACGACATTGATTGTTAATGCCCAGCTTCCATACTGGGACATGGGGCATATGGTTTTTCATGACTGTTTCAAAAATTGATTGAGTAGCTGGGACTCCATGTGTGGTCAGCCCCAACTGCACAGATATCTGCACCGCCGAGTGCGTGGAGAGCACTCAATGCTTAAGCCGCTCTGCTTCTTAAGCTTGCCTCGAAATCGGGTAATGTAAGAGTGCGACAAGGTCTTCCCTGCCAATCTCGAGCCCATGCCAATCCCGAAACCCACGGGAAAATCTTAAGCTGAAGCTCGAGGTGCTAGATACTGAATGGAAAGCAAACCACGACACCCCAGCTAAAAACCCCAAGCCCTTAGCACATAGGAGTGCACCATCCTAGACTATGTTGGGGGTGTGGAGTCCTATCAACTACGGTTCTGGGGGCTTCCGCATCGCTGCGCCCTACGCCCCAACCGGAGAACTCGAGCCCTTCTACTTAAGGTTTTTTGAGACCCCCCCCCCCCCCCACACCCCGCCTCAACAGTTCAGACTGCCGAAACTTCATTGGCCCAAATTTGCGGCTCGAGGCTTCTAAAGGTTCTCGACTCCAAGGGTTCCAGGCGCCTTAAGACCACTCTCAGATGTTTGGGGGTGGGGCACGGCTGTGTGTTCAGGCGGGTTCAGGGAGGCTGACGACTTTTCCGAGGCAGTTGCCGCTCAAGGGGCGCGTTGGAGACCTGTGGATTCGGTGAGCTTGCAGGGGAGTTTTGCTAAGGTTTGGGGGTCCAGGTCCAGGGTCGGGGTGTCAAACGAACTCGTTGTCTTTCCATGAGGCGATTGCAGTTTACAAGGGCGGGGAGCTGCAGGTGTTGAACCCTGATGTCCAGCCGATGCCTCTCACGTCATCGATCTTGAGCGCCCATGTGTTAAACCCTCGAACCTACATTCCCTAAGCCCTAGTGCAACTCGAATACGATGTTGATCGCGGAACCCCAAGCCATTACACCATCATGTAACAAGTTCCATTTCACTTGCTTGATGAGTCGAGCTGCTTATCGCTGCGATGCCGGTGTGCGCTTGATGGTGCCATCGGCAAAGCACACCTGAAAGTTTGCGTGGCGCTCGACCATCAAATCCTTCAGCCCATACTTGTAAGCCCCAGCTTCAACGGCATAAGGCATTGAAAGGTTGACATGCCAAACCTCAGCCCCTACAACTCTGCTGCTTGATGTATCCATATAGTTTGCACAGGAATGCAAACTGGCGGGAACTGTGGCTAAGCGGCTAAGCGGAGCATGGTCTCATGCTTCAACATAGTCCATGGAGCTTACCTTCTGAAGGCGTTCAGGATTTCAGGAAAACACTTACAAGGCCTCATGCCCAAAAGGTCCAGTTTGGAGTGTGCATGGGTTTGCTACAAGGGTGTCCACATGTACTGCCATTTGTTGGTGATTCTTGATTTCTTGATGTGGAACACTGCTTTGGCATGTGTACAACTTTGTGGCCGTCGTATCGTGCCCGGCCAGAAGTTGCAGTGGGTGCTGCAAGCATGTTGCACACCTCTGACGCTTCTGCCGGGGATGACAGCAAGGGCTCAGGCATTTGCTGGCTGAGGTGGCTCCCTAGGGTGTAG